CGCTTTGTACTTATCGACTTCGCCATTCTCTTTCAACTTTGTCTTGTACACCCACTTGACATCAATTTTCTTGTGCCCTCTTGGAAGATCAGTCAACTCCCAAGTGTTGTTCCGTTCAATGGCTGCAATTTCTTCATCCATCGCCTTTCGCCATTTGATTCTTTGATAGCCTCTTCGAAAGCTGTAGGATCACAGTCGGAAAATTGAGCAAAATGAGTGAGTGGATCTTCAGATTGATCAATTCCGGTTACCTCATAGTCTGACGTCCATGCTGGTCTTATTTTGGCACGTTGAGGTCATTCCCCTTCTTCTGTAGTTGCTGGAACTGGCTGTTGTTCGTTCTCCGCCTGCTGTTGCCTTCCATCTTCATTATTTCCATCAAAATCAATCGGAATTTGTTGTTCAACACTATCATTGTTCCATGGCCAGAACTTCTCTTCATCAAAAATAACATCACGACTGATAATGATTTTCTTAGTGCTAGGATTGTATAGCTTATAAGCTTTTGATTGATCGCTAACACCAAGAAAAATACATCTTTCTCCCTTATCGTCTAGCTTCCTCCTCTTCTCGTTTGGAATATGGGCATATGCAACACACCCAAAAATTCTGAAGTGTTCCACCGTTGGTCTTCGACTACTCCATGCTTCTTCTAGTGTCACATTTTGAACAACAAGAGTGGGACTTCTGTTCAAAATATGAATGCTCCAATTTACTGCTTCAGGCCAAAAGTTTTTTGGAACTCCACTTCTTGAGAAAAGGCTTCGCACTATATTCATAATAGTGCGATTTTTCCTCTCGCAAACTCCATTTTGCTGAGGCGTGTAAGACGCAGTAAATTGTCTCTTGATTCCATGGGTCTCGCAGAAATTTGACATTTAATTTCATCAAACTAACATGTAATTTCATTAAATTAATACCAAATTAACATGTAATTTCATTCAATTAAAATTTATCTTATCAAATTAACACCAAATTAACATTCAATTCATCAAACTAATATTCAATTCAACAAATTCACACCAAATTAACAATCAATTTCATCAAATTAACATTCAATTTTTTCTATTAAGCAATTAATTCACTAAATTAATATTCAAATTCAACTAGTTAATATCAAATTAATCAAATAAGCTTTCAATTTTATTCAATTAACACTCAATTTATTAAATTAACATTCAAATTATCAAATTAACAATCAAATTTTCAAATTGACATTTAATTTCATCAAATCAACACCAAAGTAACATGTAATTTCATCAAATTAAAATTTAATTTATCAAATTAACATCAAATTAACATTCAATTCATCAAATTAATATTCAATTCATCGAATTAATTAATACCAAATTAACATTCAATTGCATTTAATTAACATTCAATTTTTTTCTACTAAGCATTTAATTCACTAAATTACCATTCAAATTTAATTAATTAACATTAAATTAATCAAATAAACTTTCCATTAACATCAATTCATCAAATTAACATGTAATGTCATCAAATCAACACCAAATTAACATATAATTTTCTCCAATTAAAATTTAATTTATCCAATTAATACCAAATTAACATTTAATTCATCAAATTAATACTCAATTTCAACTAATTAACATTCAATTTTTTCTAATTAGCATTCAATTCACTAAAATAACATTCAAATTCTACTAGTTAAAATTAAATTAATCAAATAAAATTTCAATTTCATTCAATTGATACTCAATTCATCAAATTTTAACATTCAGATTTATTAAATTGACATTCAATTTCAAAAATTAACATGTAATTTCATCAAATCAACATCAAATTAACATGTAATTTCATCCAATTAAAATAGAATTTATCAAATTAACATTCAATTCATCCAATTGATCTTCATTTCATCGAATTAACACTCAATTCCAACTAATTAACAATCAATTTTTTCTAATAAACATTTAATTCACTAAATTAACATTCAAATCAATTCCAACTAATTAACAATCAATTTTTTCTAATAAATATTTAATTCATTACATTAACATTCAAATTCAACTAGTTAACATTAAACTAATCAAATAAACTTTCAATTTCATTCAATTAACACTTAATTCATCAAATTAACATTCAAATTATCAAATTAACATTCAGATTTTCAAATTGACATTCAATTTTATCAAATTAACATGTAATTTCATCAAATTAACATTCAATTTTTTCTAATAAATATTTAATTTACTAAATTAACATTCAAATTCAACTAGTTAACGTTAAATTAATCAAATAAACTTTTAATTTCATTCAATTAACACTCAATTTATCAAATTAACATTCAGATTTTAAAATTGACATTCAATTTCATCAAATTAACATGTAATTTCATCAAATCAACACTAAATTAACATGTAATTTCTTCTAATTAAAATTTAATTAATTAAATTAACCCCAAATTAACATTTAATTTATCAAATGAACATTTAATTCATCAAATTAATACAAAATTAACACTCGATTTCATCTAATTAATAGTCAATTTTTTTCTAATAAGCATTTAATTCACCAAATTAACATGCAAATTCAACAAGTTAACATTGAATTAATTAAAAAAACTTTCACTTAACATCAATTCATCAAATTAACATCCAAATCATCAAATTAACATGTAATTTCATCAAATCAACATCAAATTAACATATAATTTTATCCAATTAAAATTTAATTTATTCAATTAACATCAAATTAACACAAAATTACCACTCAATTTCATCTAATTAACATTCAATTTTTGCTAATAAGTATTTAATTCACTAAATTAATATTCAAATTCTACAAGTTAATATTAAATTAATTAAATAATCTTTCAATTTCATCCAATTAATATTCAATTCATCAAATTAACATTCAAATTTATCAAATTGACATTGAATTTCACCAAATTAACATGTAATTTCATCCAATTAAAATTTAATTTATCAAATTAACATTCAATTCATCAAATTAGTATTCATTTCATCGAATTAGCACCAAATTAACACTCAATTTTATCTAATTAACATTTAGTTTTTTCTCATAAGCATTTAATTCACTAAATAAACATTCAAATTCAACTAGTTAACATTAAAGTAATGAAATAAACTTTCAATTTCATTCAATTAACACTCAATTCATTAAATTAACATTCAGATTTTCAAAATGACATACAATTTCATCAAATTAACACCAAATTAACACTAAATTAACGTTCAATTTTTTCTAATAAGCATTTAATTCACTAAATTAACATTCAAATTCATCTAGTTAACGTTAAATTAATCAAATAAACTTTACATTTCATTCAATTAACACTCAATTCATCAATTAACATTCAAACTATCAAATTAACATTCAGATTTATCAAATTGACATTCAATTTCATCAAATTAACATGTAATTTCATCAAATCAATAAAAAATTAACATGTAATTTCATCCAATTAAAATTTTATTTATTAATTTAACATTCAATTTATCAAATTAATACCAAATTAACAATCAATTTCATCTAATTAACATTCAATTTTTTCTAATAAGTATTTAATTCACTAAATTAACATTCAAATTCAACTAATTAACATTAAATTAATCAAATAAATTTTCAATTTCATTCAATTAAACTACTTGATCGCTACTCTTGATTGCAAACTTGCACTTGATCCCACTCTTGATCGCTATTTGATCCCAATTTTGGTCGCTACCCAAATCCAACGGCTACAAATATAATTTGGTATTATTTTTTGTACACATAGCATTGCTCAATGCATAAGGAACTATAGAGATGTGTTGTTGAATTCTGAAATCTTTGGATTTCAAGTAATTCTTTTAGAATTGTATACACTTGACATTCTGTTGCTGACCACCGAAAGATGTACATTCATGCCGTGAAATCTAGATATAGTAACAGTATACGGCGTCCCATCCTTCACATGAATGACAACCCAAATTCAACTCCACCAATCCAATCAGCTTGGAGATGATCGGAATATTCCATCAGCAGAGAGTATAGCGTGCGAGTGAGTTCTAGACATTGCCACGAGACATTCCCCAATGAATACTAACAACCTGACCTGGGGTGTGTTTGGTTTAATAAGTAGGAAGAAATGGATTGAACAAATTTATCTGTCCCATACTCAAACATTTATTTGGCCTTTGGACTAATTATAATTATAGCGGTAATGTCTCTTTATTTCATGTTTAGTTCAGAACCCTATATTTATTCAATCAAATATTTTGTCTAGATAGAGTGTTGAATGATGCTATAAACGTTAAATTACTAAGATATTTATATCTTGAATATTTTTGAAGGTAAAAATGTATTTTACACAAATACTCTCCGATGAGAGTTTATTTAAACCCATCAAATAGATGAGTTTATGTATATGGGTTTAGAAATAATTTTCATCGGGGCTGGAAGTATTTTTTCGGATCAAAATATGTATCCAAACATGGGGATAAATTTGATAAAGTGGCCCAGACATCTTTTCTCCTCTCCTCTCCTCTGCATCTTCAAACACATTAGTCAAGGCATCAAGATACAGCCACATAACCAAATTGACATCCTCTGGAATTAACTTGATGAGGTAAGGTATCGAACTTAATGGTGCTCGAATTTTTTTGATTTGAAATCTAGAAATTTTGGGGCCTCTTTGAACATGAGGTTTAAGCCCAAGTTTTGTTGGCTTTGCGGTAGGGCCGGCCCTGAAAGTATTAAATAATGATATAAACATTAAATAATTAAAAAAAATTTAATATAATTATATCATTTTTTAGGGTAAAAATATTTTATTATCAAAATATATCCCAATTAGACTATTTAAACTCATCAAATAAGTGGGTTTATTTAAGAGATTATGTATAGATTTAAAAATACTATTTATTCAGGTCCAGAGTATTTTTATATGTGCCAAACTCAAATTATGTAACTAAACAAGAAAGTAAATGAGATAAAGGGAGCGAACATTATTTTGTCCGATATTCTCTCTTGTTGGCTAACCCAAATACACTAGAACCACATATGTAGTACGATGGTACTCAATCATTCCATAGTTCGATTCTCCCTCTCCATAATTAACATCATCTTTCTCGGTCACCTTTCCTAATGCTAATTCCTCTCTCTCTCTCTCTCTCTCTTTTGTGTGGTCTGTTGCTCTTAACTGGGTTGCCATGGAGACTCTGAACCTGTGCACTCCATCACTTCCTGTATTCAATTTGATGTTCAGCACCATATATCTCTTGGGCTACTTCATAATTTTCAGGAACTGGAAACAAAATCTCAGGCCTGAAGCTTCAAGTTGTCTCGTCTCTCTCGCCCATGGAACTCCTGCTGTTCTCTTATCCCTCTATTCAATCTTGTACCCACAAACCCAACTTAATTTCGCTTCACCAAACACCAACTTCCAGAACATGGTTCTTGACTACAGCATTGCTTACTTCTTCATGGACCTCTTACATTACATGATCTTCATCCCCAGTGATGTCCTCTTCATTGCTCACCACTTAGCTACTCTATATGTATTCCTGACATGTCGATATATAGTTCATCACGGCGGTTCCGCCATACTTGTTCTTCTTGTCCTTGCTGAGGTTACAAGTGCTTGTCAGAATACTTGGAGCTTTGCCAGATTCCGAAAAGCCGATGTGCCGGTGGCTGCCAAAGTGTATGAGCGCTTGTCTCCTGTGTTTTATGCATTTTATTCCGTGGTTAGAGGGGTTCTTGGACCGCTTTTTGTGTACAAAATGGGTTTATTTTATGCAAATGGTGGAGCTGATGGAGTAATTCCTAGGTGGGCTTGGATTTCTTGGATGGCTGTGATTGTCAGTGCAATCTTGGTTAGCATATTGTGGGTTATCAATCTCTGGATAGATTTGTATAGAGAAAGAACCAAGAAAGAGGAAAGGAAATCGAGTTAGAGGTTGGTGATTCTTTGATTCAACCCCAAGGTTAAATGTGGGGGGGTTATTTGTGAATATGTAGTTAAATCAAGGGTTCAAATCCAAATTTCTGGGTGACGATTGCTCTGATGGAAGATGGAAATTAGATTACAGCCTGTATAATACTATTGTTTCATTTATATAATCTTTTGATTGGGAAGACAGTATGTGCAAACTTGCTAGGTAGAGAGTAATTGTTCTTTGGATTTGTTTCTTGGTATCTTCTGCTTTGTTATTTATATTTTCATTTATTCTACAATTAACTTTTGAAGTTCTTTGACCCAGTGGTTTCTCGAATAACCCACTTCCTCACACATAATTGAGGGAGTCATCCAAAATTCTTTCAACTAATGATTTCTCTTTAGCAAAAAATTGGGTCTAATCATATTTTTCAATTAAAAAATTATCTCACATAATATTGAAACTAATGACTAGTCTCATGACAATGACACTGTGGTAGCAGCATTACTCCAGCCTAAAATAAATAATAATAATTATACATGCTTATTTTCGGGAGTGGCATCCTTACTTGGAGTGTGGTTAACAACATGCTCCCCCTTTAAGCAAAATAGAATCCCATTACAATTGAAGAAGTAAAGAAAAAGTAATTAGGAGAAACCTCAAATTGCGTAATAACACCGCCACCGCCATGTGGATCCGGTCTCTATCATTTGTCAAATTGTATTTGTAATATCTCTTAGACTAACCAAATTCATCAGATTTGAAGACAAATATAATTTGTACTTAATTTAATAATTTTATTTATTAACATGATGAATTATAATTATTGAATTAATATTGGATCTTAATTAATAATAGAGTTTACCGTCAATTTAATAGAAAAGAAAAATAAAATTAACAAACATATCATCCTTCTGAGTCCGAAAACATTTTGGCCAAAAAAGAAAAAGATTAGGAATTATTGTGCCAAATTTTTTGTAGATTACCTATATGTAATGATATAATATTAACTCATACAATAAAGTCTATTTTGAATTCATAACCAATGATTTACCATTGAATTTAACATATTGAAAGTCATCCAAATCCTAGTGGTGCGCACAACATTGCGTGACACCAAAAACCACTATAAAAAAAAGTGATGTTCTCGTTCCCCCTCAAGAGGAAAGAGATAGGAAAGCAAAGAGGAAAGTTTCGTAAGGAACATTATAGTTTTTGACATGACTAGATTCTCATATCATTGGCATATTCCATACACTTGCTTGTTAATAACCACCAGCCTACCTGGACCAGTTGGAGGGTCATGTGGCATGTTAACCACCGAGTTTGGTGGCTAACTGTGTTGATTCTGACTATCAGTCTATGATTTTGAGAGTTCACAGAAACATATAATATATGGGCTAATCATAATTTCACAAAAAATAAATTTCTAATCGCAGTAGTCCGATGGCATATGATGTTGCCTAACATTTAATTTCGAAATCATAATACCAACTAGACTATTGACACTCGAAGCAGAAACCAGCAACAACACGACCATGGCTTGAATATGATGGTCCGGAACAGATTTGTTGTGATACTCCTCTGTTTTGCCTAAAACTAAATGATGAGGACAATTGCAGCAAGTTTGGATATTTCATGCCCCTTTCAGACCATGATTTTCGTTGCCCTCGACCACAACCATGACCAATGGAAACATGGAGTAGTACTTTTAATTGTATTGGCCAAAGATCTATATGAGGATAACTGAAGCAGTTGTGTTTTCAGGGCTACCATGATAATTAAGCTCTACAAAGAAACCCCCTCCTTCGCCCCTAGCCAGTCTGCCTGGATTGACACAAATGCACTTCACTTGCTCTTCTGCGTCACTTCTTCCCCCGAGGGACAGCACCTGCATACATGGGGAACAAAATAAATTCAATTTTCAAACCGTATTATTATTCTTTCTATTAAATCTCTCATCATGAGTCCGTCTCCAATATTAATTAGCTTCATAGTTAGACTTGTAGATGTAATGCCATTGATTATGCCAAGGGAGATTCAGGTGTTTTTACCCTCACAAATTGAGCCAAGTCTGAAGGTAGGATGAGGATATCTGGAATGGAAGAGATCTGAAGAGCTTCTGGCGAGAGTGAAAAGTCCAAGGGAGTTCCTTCTGCTGGTGGATATAGAGGATAGAAGCTGTTTCCAAAGATGGTAGAGGGATCAATACAATAAAATTAAAAAAAGTCCTCTCAAGAGTAATTTGAACCTTCCACATATTTACTGAAGGAATTTGCCGACAACTGGCTTTTTATAACATGCCTGCGCTGGTTCAGGATATGGTTTGCAAGTGTACTCAACCGGTGCTTGGATACCCCTGCTAGATTTCTCGAGATTTCCTCTCCACTAAGTTGTTTGAGGATATCAACAGTGCAGCAACCCACCTTGACCTGAAACCAAAAACTGTAAATGATGAATTATCCCTGCAAATATCCTCGCCTCCCCCACCCCACCCCACCCCAGTTTTCTAATGGTGGGTGCACAGACATATGAACTATGATAGGATGATACAGTTACCAGTGTTTACCGCATTTGCACAGAAAGTCCCCGGGTTTGTGAGACTGGTTATCTGAGTGACGATAAACATATTGTCATTACATTGTGACGACATAGTGAAAGTAGATTACAGGAACTAATGATTTGTGGAAAGTATGCCTCCTAGAATTCTGTACCTGATGTTTGAGATCAGGTAGATGAATGTCAAAAGCAGGCTGCAGAACCAAAACAGAGATAAATCTCAATACTAAGAATTGATGTACCATGTTATTAAATTGATAAAGACGTTATATTATTAGATTCAGTAATAAAACCACCTGTGGAAAAACAAAGTCATGGTTAGCATCTCGTATTGATGGCACAAGTATCACGCGGACACTAGAACCCATGTATTCCACATAATCTTGAAGCTGGGAAACAGCCATTTGAAAAGGTACATTAAAATACAGAGACATAAAAACTTCCAGCAAAACATGTACATAAATTTTCAAGTACATACCCGTCCAAGAATTTCAAGACGAAATAGTTCATCAAAGGTCCTGTTTACAGTTCCTTTTTTGATCTCTGGATGTTCGGAATCTACAAATGGCCCCATCTGCCAAAAGCTTCATATCAAGTTCAATGTGCAATTTCCACAATCATTCAATGATAGAGAAAATCATGTAGAAATTATTGACAGAAGATTGGTGATTTTATACCAGTACAAGCAATTGAGGCTGCTTTCTCCGGGCATATGCTAGCAACTCAATTAGAGGTTCAAAAAATAAGTTGTCGGTTGTGGTAAAAGGACCAGCTGCAATAATCTGTTCAAGATTTAAAATGCATAAGGAACTGTAGAGATAATGAACAGGACCTAATATATAATAACTCTCCCAGTTGCATCTCTGGATTTCAAGTAATTCTGTTAGAATTTTACACCTAGGACATTGTTGTTGACTCCTGAGAAAGTGAACCACTAAAAGGTGTGTATTCATACTATGGAATCTGGATATGGTAACAGTTTACTTGTGTCATTCTCCACAGGAATTGCAATCCAAATTCAATTCTGTCAATTCAATCTGCTAGAGATACATAATAAATAAAACATGATAGTCATAAAACTTGATGACTCCGTCAGTGTCTTGTTAATCCCAACCACCCCTTTTGGAGCCATCAAATCGCAAATTTCTGGATCCTGTCAACATTAGCTCTCAATCACCACTTAGGTTTTCCTCAGCGGTGCCTTCCACAGAACCTATAAACCCTCACATTCTTAACCTTATTTAGCCGTCTTTTGCTTTATTAATCTTCACGGGAAACAATTGAAATAAGAAACTTATCAATGTTATCAGTTATAACATCAAGACATATAATAAGGTTTGGAAACCTGAAGTGAAGGAGTGACCCAGTGACAAAGGCTCAGTCTTGGTCGCAGGTGGTTGCGAGTGCCAACCTCATCCCTCCCACCCATCCACCACCCCAAAAAAAAAAAAATATTTGGAAACCAATAACATATAAATGCAGATTATGATTTAATACAGGAAAGGTATGGCACTAGAACAACCTAAACATATACTCTGTCGTAGAATATGTGGTGATGTTGAATACAGCTTACACACCAATGATAGTTCTGACAGCATAAGAGATTGATCAGTTGACTGGAATTCCAAATCCATAGCCTGTTTCTTGGCAGGGTGAAAATTCTCAACAGAAGAAACTGACAAAGCAACACAGTCAGTAATTTTTGATGCAATCAAACAGTGTCCGCTAGGATTGTGCCCTTCAACACCTACCACCTGTAGAGTTGCACTTATCCATGGTTAAATAGAATCCCAGAACACAAATATGATATACTGGTCAATAGTTATGGTTTTTATTTTTCCTTTGTACTCCCCTTCTTCTTTCAATCCTAGTTACCTGGCCAGGAAAAGTGGAAAACTGGCTCAACTTTTGCAGGTCAAGATGCACACGTTGCCCTCCAGAATGCTCAACACTGTCAGAAACACAGGTAATTACCAGTAGCCAGCAATATGAATAAATAGACAGTATCTACACATGTCAATTAGATCAGTATATCCTTGAATTCAAGATCCTAGACCTGTGCAAGACAGCAATTCTGAACACCTCATTTCCTTGGAGTCAACTTACATCAAAGCTAGGGGCGTTGAAGCATGTTTGCCCCAACTAAAGTGCTATGGGTCCCGACTGAGAAAGCGATGGCCTACTAGTTTCCCAGGACAACTATTTGACCACAACAATGTTTAATGAGTGGACTTCTTTTCACTTGAGATCACTGTCCCAACCATCGTAACATCGATCATATTAGTCATCTCTAAATGCTTCAGGCTTTGCCTTTCATGTGGCACAGCATTGTTGAATGTGGTTATACTGAGGATAATGAAACTGCGGAGTGCTGATGCACTGACAAAGCAAAGGTAGCATCTTCCCATGACACAGGCAGCCCCTCTGCCCCACCACCAATCAAAAAAAGGAAAAGAAAAGGAAGGCAAATGAAAATGCATAGTATTGACTATGGATGAGAGACTTTACCTACTTTGCAGCAAGATAGGCTTCTCTTTCAGGCGGCCTTCTTCATCACAACAGATCATGCCAACTGCAAATACAGTTTTCTGTAACAATAGGTTCTATCAGATGCAAGGACANGAAAAAGGCAGCATCATTCAAAGGTGACAATCGTTAAAATATTGAATCAAATCTTCAGCTATTAGCCAAAATGCACATATATGCAATAAAAAAATGTAGGCAACATGCGAACAACCAACGAACTACAGACTTTATATAATTCNCCCTCTGCCCCACCACCAATCAAAAAAAGGAAAAGAAAAGGAAGGCAAATGAAAATGCATAGTATTGACTATGGATGAGAGACTTTACCTACTTTGCAGCAAGATAGGCTTCTCTTTCAGGCGGCCTTCTTCATCACAACAGATCATGCCAACTGCAAATACAGTTTTCTGTAACAATAGGTTCTATCAGATGCAAGGACATGTTGGCTTTAACTAACAAATAAACTCTTTAAAAGAAGATGGAGCAACGAGAAAATCGTTGAGTCAGAATCATCACAGATCAAAGCATAGTGATAGAAACAGGAAACATCATCAGGTTAGCTTTACCTGGGAAGCAACAGTGGGGTCCATTAGTTCCTCATACTTCCCAGAAGCAACAAGGGCTGTTGCATGCATTTTAATGCGATTTTCAAGAAAATTGAACTATATCACGGAAAAAAAAATCAGTGCTGTAAACATGAAGGAAAAATATATGCCTATTTGACAGCATAAGAAGTATCAAACACCTTGTTTTCAATCCTGTCATACATGAACCTGCAACCTGGTTCAGGCTGAGAACCATGGATTTCTAAGGAACACCTTTTGCTGGGTAGTACCCTCTTTATGACATCATCTTCGGAATTCTCATGGTCATGTTCTTTCCTGATGTTCTCTGCAGTAGGCAGGTCATTGAGAGTGGACTGCACCAAAAATTTACTTTTTCGTTTCCCAAAGGGAGTCACTGATTCTAAGGTTTTCCCAGAGGAAAAAATGTTCCCATTTGTTTTGAGTGTGGAATCATATGGCTCTGGATATGGGGTGTCAGATTTGCCTGTTGGAGAGTCAAGGATGCCTTCTTTTGTATCTTCGTATTCATCGTTTAATATCCTGTTTAAAGCAGTTCAATCTAAGATTCACATGGTAACTAAAAAAACTAATAACTTGAGACTATCCATGCTATTTAGGGGAACATTTGGATGGTGCATACACCATCACATTTACTTATAAACTCATCAACTAAAATCTGACACTAACAGAGTCCACACTTCCACAAATTTCCCAGTCAAATAAATTATGTATCCTCTGTTTCAACTAAACATATTCAGAGACTCAATAAATACACAAGCACTCAGAAATACACTAAAAAAGTTTTAAAAGATGCGAGTATATCAGGAGTGTAATGCAACACATCAATAGATTAGTGCGACAAAATTGACAATAAAAAGCGACATCGTGAAAAAGGCAGCATCATTCAAAGGTGACAATCGTTAAAATATTGAATCAAATCTTCGGCTATTAGCCAAAATGCACATATATGCAATAAAAAAATGTAGGCAACATGCGAACAACCAACGAACTACAGACTTTATATAATGCTCACATAGCAACATCATTGGAGTACAAATGCAAACCGGACTCTTTCTTGATAATTGATTCTTTCTGCTCATTTTGTAGGTGCGTTAAGAATGCATCCATATGAGCACTTTGCACCATTAATTCCAGCCCCCTGTCACAAATGCACATCCCAATTACAAGTCAAAGCCTTAATTTCCTGCGCCTTGAATTAAATACAAAGAATCCTCTGCTTATTTCTAATAAAACAGAGGAAAACCCAACATTAAATCCTTGCACCCAAGCTGAATTAACTCTACCACATAAACATTTTCAAGATATTAAACTAATAAGTTTGTTATTTTCCTTTTTTCTAGAGAAATTGGTACAGAACCAGTGAACTTCAAATTTCTTTTTCTTTTGCTTGATTTTCTGGGAAGACGAATAGTAAATGACAGAAACCTCTTCACAATATGTTACTCTTTACATTGGAAATACATAATCATAAAGCCAGTGAATTGACCTGTTGAGGGAATAAACGTCCCAGCTCGAAACGAGATCGGAAGGAGTGAGCTTGTAATTTATACAGAAGGTAAGACCTGAACATAGACAACAAAGATTAGGACTTTTGTAATCAGTACATTCCGCGTAAATTCAACCTAGATTTGGGTCCAAAGAGGGCAAAAAAATATCTTACAGCTCTTGAGTATTTCTTCTTCGTCGTCGAAAGTGAACGCATGCTTGTTGAACTCTGCTTTGATTTCCTCTTCCATGGCGAATTAGGGTTTGGAGGAGAGAAGAGAAAATGATTAAGATGAGAAAAATGGCGGGAAACGTTGCATCGGTAAATATATATATATATATAATCTGGTGCCTGGTGTATATTTCTTATTCCTATTTTACCCCGCTTTGTTTACTCATATATCGTAAATGCCCTTGCAAGTGTCTAGCCTAGCATAAGTTGGGGTATGAAATTGGATTGGGCAAAACGTTGGCCTGGGCTGGATAAGGGATGGGCCAACCTGGCTTCTGAGCTCAAACTATTTGAGCAATGTGGCCATTCGATGATTGTTGTATATTTCGTTGTGAATTAATTACCCATGGAAATTAATTTTTTACAAGTTATATTGAAATATTATATATTTCTAATAAAATTGAAAAAATTAATCTAAACTTGTCCAATTAAATGTGAAAAGAATTCTATTCAATTTATCAAACAATTATTATATTTAACTTAATTGCATAATCATCTAATACAACTAAATTTTCATTCAATTTCATTGAGGTTGGCGGTTGTCTAATGCACTCTCGTTGTTAGACTTTAAGATCGAGGGTTCGAACCTCATTCCCTCCATTCTCCCATAATAGTGTTAGACAAAAAAATCATTCAATATAGTGAAATTATGACTAATTTTATCACCAATTTGTCAAGTAATCCAATAATTGAAGAGCAATATATGCCTACTTTCACCAAATAACTCAACCATTTTCTACTCAAGTTTAAAATTGTNATATATATATATATATAATCTGGTGCCTGGTGTATATTTCTTATTCCTATTTTACCCCGCTTTGTTTACTCATATATCGTAAATGCCCTTGCAAGTGTCTAGCCTAGCATAAGTTGGGGTATGAAATTGGATTGGGCAAAACGTTGGCCTGGGCTGGATAAGGGATGGGCCAACCTGGCTTCTGAGCTCAAACTATTTGAGCAATGTGGCCATTCGATGATTGTTGTATATTTCGTTGTGAATTAATTACCCATGGAAATTAATTTTTTACAAGTTATATTGAAATATTATATATTTCTAATAAAATTGAAAAAATTAATCTAAACTTGTCCAATTAAATGTGAAAAAAATTCTATTCAATTTATCAAACAATTATTATATTTAACTTAATTGCATAATCATAGAATACAACTAAAATTTCATTCAATTTCATTGAGGTTGGCGGTTGTCTAATGCACTCTCGTTGTTAGACTTTAAGATCGAGGGTTCGAACCTCATTCCCTCCATTCTCCCATAATAGTGTTAGACAAAAAAATCATTCAATATAGTGAAATTATGACTAATTTTATCACCAATTTGTCAAGTAATCCAATAATTGAAGAGCAATATATGCCTACTTTCACCAAATAACTCAACCATTTTCTACTCAAGTTTAAAATTGTCCAAGAGTAGTCACAACTGCCAACACATAGCACTTTGTATTATACGCTTCATTACTCTTGAGTACAAGATTCACCTGAACTGACGGATAAGAATTTTTAAAATTTAAGTTCCGAGCCAATGAGTTATGAAAGATTATTTCTTTTGTTGACCCTACTCGATTGAAAATAATGCTTCAAAATTTGTCTAAAAAATCAACTCATATGGTCGGGTAGGAATGAGAAATGCCCCACTGTTTTTAAATTGTAAGTTATCAATTTTTAGGTCATTTTAACAACATAATTACTAAATTTTTGGGCTACTTTAGACTATTAATATTTAATATAAAGATATGTAAGCTACCACAATAAACTAATAAAATTAAAGAAAACACAATAAATTTGATTAATATGTTCTCTAATAATCTAAAACATCATAAATAAAAACAATCACAAGATACTTCTTAAACAACATTGTTTTATGACAAATAAAACGACTTTGTTTTATAACACACATATTATTTTTTTTTTAAATTAAATATATATGCGAGTCGGATAGGAATACAAAAATTTTATGGGTATTCTATATTCCTACCCAAATATTTCTGGAATACTAAAAAAAAACTTTCCATTAGCCGGCCGAAAAAATGTAAAAGTCAAATTACCAAGTAGGATAAGGTCGAGTTAGGTGGCGCGGAATTTTGAACACCCTTACTCTTGATACTTGAACCTCCTATGCATTACCCCCTTGATAACTCCTGAGACTTCAAAGGCCCAATACCAAGATCAAATATGCAATAAAAGGATCAAAAAAGTAGCTGTGCACCAATGGCAACGGCAATTGCATAGATAGAAGCCAATACTGATTACTGAATCACAACTGCTCACATTTTAGTCTTATACAAGAGCAATTCCTATTGTTGTGCAGATTAATTCGCGTTCAAATATCGCAAATTTTACAGATAATCAAAACTTCACTACCTGATCATAAGAATCCTGGGACAGACACAACTATAGTAGACATTACACTGGCTGGCTTAACAAGAATCCATGACTAGTTAGGGAGTACATATGCTTGATAGCCACATCCCCATTTTTTGAGATCAAACTAAGTTACAGACTCAATAAACGACGACAACCCTATCAATAGGAAATTCAAAATCACCACTGTCACCATTATCATTACCAGCTGATGTTGAACTGCAAGCAAGCAGAATGATCCTCGTAAAGAGACGATAATCACGAGTAGAAATGGTAGGTTTTTGCTGAAAGGATTATTGTCCTCAGTGCACCAATGGGTGATAAAAGCATCAATGCAACACCGAGTATTATGCAGATCTGAAATTCATGAATCAAAAATATGATCAGCCAAGCTTCAAAAGAAGCAGATAAAAGTAGATATATCATAAAATGATTGAAGCAACAACGTTAAGATAGCCTACACAATTTGTCCACCAAGATAGACTGAATCTCCTCGGGTTGTACACGATAAGCCAGATGATGCAGGGAAGCTGGGGAAAGAAAGAAGATAATCAAAGGGCTGAATCTATATTGAGTGGTTTGATTAACCAAATGAATACAATTGCTGTGAAGTAGTGGTCAATTGGTCATAGTTTGTAGTATAAGGGAGAATATGAAGTATTGACTTACATAATATGAGGTAGGAGCGAAAGCAAATCCACCAAAGAATCCAAGAAGCCCTCCAAAGAAAGGGAAGGTCATACCAATGAACATTGTCAATGCTGCAATCAATAAAGGCAAGAGAGTTTTGTCACGAAAAATCAAAATGAAAACGACGAGAAATTATAGAAAAAATGAGTTACAGATATATTACAACTATATGGAGANGCTGCAATCAATAAAGGCAAGAGAGTTTTGTCACGAAAAATCAAAATGAAAACGACAAGAAATTATAGAAAAAATGAGTTACAGATATATTACAACTATATGGAGATTTGGTAGCCGTCAATTGAAAAAGAGTGAGAGCTAACTTAAATAGCAGAATAACAAGCTTACCAACATATATTGTGCGAGTGCTAAAGCGCAGGGTGGTAGAAGGTGGAAATTTTAACTTCTTTACCAGATAAGATTCCAACATGTCAAAAACTGGCATCGCGAAAATCTGAAATTTTTGGCAAAATCCAGGAGTAAGCAGGACTAAACCAACTGTAATGGCAGCTAACAAGAACAAGGAACAAACAATGTAGTAAAATCTGAACCAGATTTTGGAAAATCCACCTGATAGCCTCCAATGACATGGATTACAACAAACATGTTGGCTGCTGCGATAAGCCAGTTGGGTTTCTCTAAGGTGATCAGGATGTTGTCATCGACAGCTTTCCCAAATATGTAGTAGCCAATTACTGCAACTGGGAAGTAGCACAAAGCAACAATGATATATGCAACCACCACTCCTCGCCACATTGGTCCCTTTGAAGGTTTCTCAGGGGTTGAGGGAATTGTTGCTTGGATCTCCAATACCACATTGTGACCAGCATAGGCGAAGGATACATCGCCCAAGGCGCTGAAAAAATTGAAAACATTTCCAGATGTGTTTTTCTCTCTGGGGTTGTAGTCCACCTCTTGATGAATTCCCTTTTTAAGTGAAGCTACCCAAGCAATAGTTGAGTAACTGCAGTCCAAAAATGAAGGAAAGAAGATACATCAACACAACAGTTTCAGGACATGAAACGAGGTTCAAAAAAAATTTAATGCAGCACTTACGTGAAGGACATGACAGCTGCGGCCAGGGAGACTCCAGAGATGGAGTTAAGGTTGGGCAGATGGGAAAGAACAAATTGAACCGAAGCGAAAATCATAATGAAGAAGGTGGTCTTGATAGGTTTGCAGCTTGGACAAACTGATTCATGGAATTTCTTCAATGATTTCCCTCCGGTGACCATGTAGACTATGCATGAGCCAACCTCCACCACAAGCTGTTGTGGGATAACAATCCAGAGGCCTAGCTTTTCACCAAAAGCATGCTGACCTAGTTCATGGTACCTATCAAATCGCTTGCCTGGAACCATTTCATGCATCTCAACCATTTGCCATAGTGTGTATAAGGTGATGACCCATGACAGAACAAGTATGACGATTCCAGGACCCCTATAAATCAAAGAAAACAATATTGGTACAAACAGATCTTAGTCATGATGTAGACCTGTCATTTATAGGTGAATTCAATTGACCTTAAAAGATTGATCTAGAGAAANCAGAGGCCTAGCTTTTCACCAAAAGCATGCTGACCTAGTTCATGGTACCTATCAAATCGCTTGCCTGGAACCATTTCATGCATCTCAACCATTTGCCATAGTGTGTATAAGGTGATGACCCATGACAGAACAAGTATGACGATTCCAGGACCCCTATAAATCAAAGAAAACAATATTGGTACAAACAGATCTTAGTTATGATGTAGACCTGTCATTTATAGGTGAATTCAATTGACCTTAAAAGATTGATCTAGAGAGACTCAAGTCTCTATGTCTACAGAACAATAGACCCATAGACCACATCAATTAAACAAAAGTATTCAAAATAACCACCACTCCTCATCCCATTACGAACACATGAAAATATCTACAACTGAAACAAAATTAAACTTCTTTAATGTGTTAATAACAGTTGAAGATGTACTCACAAAAATGCACAAGAGTATCTCATTGACATTGTTGTGATCGTGCAGCAATTATGGTGAATAGTAAGGAATCAAACAATTAAGAAAGCAGGAGAAAATAACACACAGAGATTTACGTGGTTCGGCAATGTGCCTACATCCACGAGAGCGAGCGGCTGTTCTTTTCCTTATTGAAGTAGGGTTACATCTTAAGTATTTATATAACCCTAATATGGACGTATTTACAAAAATACCCCTGTACCGTACCGCGGGGGCGTTGCCCCCGCACCCCCAACTTATCAGCGTCCCCTATATATAAATCCCGCTCCGGCATCTGCCTCCTTGCCATTATGCACATAGCAAAATATGAGCCACACATACTCTAACAGACATGGTTTAAAAAGATGTGTTCAATACAGGTAATTCAAAGAATCACCCTACTAAATTACCTTTCGGCCCTNGTTAATAACAGTTGAAGATGTACTCACAAAAATGCACAAGAGTATCTCATTGACATGGTTTAAAAAGATGTGTTCAATATAGGTAATTCAAAGAATCACCCTACTAAATTACCTTTCGGCCTTTCCCTCTCGGAATGAGCATGGTCCTATAACCCTCTAAAGATGAAAGGAGTGCAATGCCACACAGTTGCAACATTTTCATTATATGAATCTACATAGAATTGCTATAACTAATCTACAGAGACTTGTATCTCTTAAACAGATTATTAATCAATGAAACTCATGCAATTGGTATATGCATTCCTCATCCGAAAAGAAACAAACTATAGTATGAAAAAATCAGGCATTCAACAAAAACCTTTTAGAACCACAAGAAGAAAAAGAAAATAACTTACCATCCAAGTTCTGACATGGCATAAGGAAGGCTCAGCACACCGGCTCCAACCATGGCGGTGACATTGTGAAAAGCCGAATAGTACCATTTTGCATTTCGTGAGCCAGTGATTGGAAGCCAATCATCAATGCCCTTCTCCTTGGCGGTTCTTTCATCATTTTGTGGTTGAGACATGTTTTTTTTTTTTCCCTTGGCAACGTGAAGGACTCAACAACAAATTGAGCCCTCCTTTAACCACATAACAATGAATCGTAGAGAGTTCATAATTTCAAAAAATATGTAGAGTTTGATAAAAAATAGTGAATTCACAATTGGTAAGTTCATTCTTAGGAATCTACAGTTAAAGTTGGCAGCTATGCTGCTATTTCTCTCTCTAACTGAAATTTGAATCAAGGGTAACCATCAACCAATGTAAATTTACCAAAAAAGCCTTGGTTATTCCACGTGCAGAGTCTCAAAAGAAAGCCTTTGAGTGGTTTATTTGCTAAGCCTCTGGGTAGAAAAGTAGTCCTAATTTAATGAGTATTATGAGAAGATTCTCACCACTAATTAGTAACCCAGATCCTTAGGGACACCAAGTTAAGAATGCAAAGACTATTTCTTAACAAAAATAGATCTGAAGACCTACAAAGTTGGAGGAGAGAGGTTGGTTTTACCTAAACACACGTTGGCCTGCATTAAATGTCATTAGGAGTTACCTTTTTTTCTTTTTCCAACAATGAAAAAAAAAATAGAAAAAAAAAACTCCAATTATTTTCTTTACAATTTAACATGTACCACTTATATATAACTGGTCCTGGTCCTGGTCCGTGTCATGGTGCCCGATCTACCGTTNTTTTCTTTACAATTTAACATGTACCACTTATATATAACTGGTCCTGGTCCTGGTCCTGGCCCGTGTCATGGTGCCCGATCTACCGTTAAAGAAAATTAAGAAACAGTATACCAAGGCGCTCTCAATCTATACATGTATTACAGGAAAATACAGGTCAAGGAATTTTTAGTAAAAGATTTGCCTTAAAGAATGGGGTTTCGGGTGATAATTCAAGATCAATTCAACAGCCTGCCATCACCCCTCCAAACTGAAGAAGCAGAAAGGGAAGGATGACTGTTTAACAAAGGCGGTATTTAGACTAATAGACTTGGCTGAGTAATCCGGGATTGTGAAGACAATTTACCTTTGACCAGCCGGTTCATTTTAGGAATTGAATCTAGCAACAAAGCAACATTACCCCTTTAGGTGACATGGCATTCAAGAAAACCCGCAGGATGATTTCTGTACACTGCGTTGTCCTGGAAATTTTTCTTGCAGTGCAGTCTTGTGGTTTAGATGGCCGGCGGTAATCTCGGGCATTTAAAGGAATGTGAACTAGAAGGCAATAGCTAGGCTAACTGATGAAGCCTCTAACTAGTAACACTACTGATTGCAAAGACCATTAATCTCGACCCTCGAAAATCCAGGTCTTCTCGAAGACAAATGATAGATCACTCGCCATTTATTGGCGGAAACCACGTACACGTAATGGGTTCCATGTGAATTTATAGCAGATGATCATAAAAAAATTCAGACCATACATAACCCAGACTAATAAATGATAAAAGGGTATGGAGTAGGACCAAAATTATGCATCTTTATCTAGGATAATATTCCTTGAAAATCACCAAAAGACTGTATAACTAGCAAGCAGAGGTTTTACACATATTACACAAGGAACATGTAACACAGGAAGTAGAAAAGCTAACATACACATGTAGAGCTCATGCTACTCCACTATTGATGGTTTTGACAAAAACTCCAGCTGATACAAATAATCAGATCAAACCACTAAAGAATTCACACGCTTGTAGTTTTGTTGCGGCTGTGTGCAGCTAATTGAATCATCCACAGCTAAGCCTTGTGCCCCAAAACAAAAGTACTGGTTCATCAACCTCTTGTTGAAGGAAGTCTGTTTATGTGTTGATTTTAGTTTTTCTCCATTTGAGGAATTAGTTGAACTCGATGGTCCTGCAATATCATTTCCAATGTCGACTACCTTTTGTTTAACAATAGATAGAGGGGAAGATCTAGACGATCCTGAAAAGGAATTATTTGAGGATTCAACAGCTAAATGTGGCATCACCTTAATGACACCATGCATCAACCCTGCAGCAAACTTCTTTTTGGTGGATGGACTTGGAAGATTACTCCTGAGAGGAAGTATTCTTTTGTTGTTTGGGAAAGAGTTCACTTTTGAAAATCTTTGTCGAAGTGGGATTGGATTGTCTTCAAAACTCCTACGTATGCTGAAGGATTCCAAAGAATCATTGTCTCCCAACTTATCAGTTTTTCTCCCTTTCCTCCCTGGCCATTGTAGGAGAAGTTTCAGGTGTCTTGCAGCGGTATATACAGCACTCGAATTTCTAATATCCAATGTGTTAGACCCAACATCTGATTCGAAGTGACTTAGTTCACCTGAGCATGTATCATATTCTGTACTTGGAGGATCAACACTGACATCGGTTGTATTCTCAACTCCAGTGTACAAAAATATTTCTGCGTCAGGGATTCTGAAAGAAGTTCCCGGGCTGCCACCAATTCCCTGCAATTTTAAATGGGAAGCAAGTGCACTTCTTGTAATACGATCTTGACAGTTGGAGATCCCTCCAGCAGAAATAAGCCGCTTGATTAAAATTTCAGAAGATGCTGATCGTGGCCATTGCTTGAGGAGATCAAGGGGAGTCATGCAATCAGCGTCACGAATGTTTAAACTAATGCAAGGAACAGTCATAAAGAGTTCCACCAGATCAGAGTGAACGTTCCCAATTACAGCCATATGAAGAACAGTTCTTCCATCACTATTCCTGATATTTATGAGCTCTAGTATATTCAAAAACTTTCCACACACCAACTGCTTCATGAGCTCCATTTGTCGGTCCAATCTGTGGAAACCGGGAGTTCGGAAACCAGCCACTGCCATATGAAGAAAAGTGTCTCCATAGTTGTTTGTTAAGGAGGTGGATGAGGGAGATGCGGATATTAGAACCTCTACCACAGCTAAGTAACCCTTGTAAGCAGCAACATGTAATGCCGTGTTCCCCTGATTATCTTTGGATGTTATGACATCATAGGATGCAAGTAGAAACTTAACTACCTAGATGGAAAAAAATATTGGTTAAAACCCATAGAAAAAAAAATAGGAGTTCTTAGGAGATTCTGATAAATGCAATCAGGAATGACAAGGAGGAACCTACTACGTCAAGCAATCACAGGAAATCTTAGTGAGACCACGGTACAAATTTAGTGCAAAACCTTTGCAGTGATGATATAGAATTCAATTGATATTGCTGAATATAAAATAAGTCTCAACACAAAAGCCAGTAAACACTAAGATCAGAGTAGAATTTGCAGGTTTTCAGAAATACAATAACCTACAACAATGTTCCACGGTTCCAATTTAAGCTGAATGAAGGATGTAAAAATAGGATTACTCCCAGATCTCAGTGACAGTATCTCTAAGCTTTGAGCTCTGGAGGATCATCACTACTTATTTGGTCAAGATTCCTCAAATTAATTTTCCGACCCAAGCCCAGAGTACACAAAAATTAGAGCAATGAAGATCTTCAATGCTGAACTCTTCTGAAGATCCATATGTTATTTATAAACCCATCATAAAACCTGAATATCCCACATATTCCATCTCAGATGTCCAATCTTTAGTTACAACCAACACCATCCAAGCTACTTAGACCTGTAGTCAAGTTCCTCAAAGAATAGAAAAAGTACCAACTGAAGTTTTTCTCTCTGAGGACTTCTAATATTGCCGAAGCTGTTCCACGCCATGGAAGAACAGTGAAAAAGAAGTCATTAATCAAATCCTAAAGTCGTATAAAGCCCTTCCTGATTGGTNCCAACTGAAGTTTTTCTCTCTGAGGACTTCTAATATTGCCGAAGCTGTTCCACGCCGTGGAAGAACAGTGAAAAAGAAGTCATTAATCAAATCCTAAAGTCGTATAAAGCCCTTCCTGATTGATGAGGTAAATATCAGAAATTGTTGAAACCATTTAGAATCTGTTAAATTACCAGTGTAAGTCTGTCATTTACCACTGGGAAACATATGGTTCAGAGGAAACACGATACCATTTCTCAACCAGATCAGATTTCTATTGAGCAGGCACTTTATGCAAATGTTGATGCACTTGAACATCAAGTGCAATCGACATTGTTACCGTTCCAATGGCCGCTAGTCACTCAAAGATCCATCCTCAAACTGTTACCTACACTTCAGCAAGTTCAGTAACACATTACTTACGCAAATGATGCAACCAATCCGAAAGAAGATAACAGTACATCGTGCCTGAATAGTTTCATCTGGTCTCTCATAACATTTAAAGGCAGAATCCACTCTTTAGAATGGGATTATCTCAAGATCACCAAGTNGATCCATCCTCAAACTGTTACCTACACTTCAGCAAGTTCAGTAACACATTACTTACACAAATGATGCAACCAATCCGAAAGAAGATAACAGTACATCGTTCCTGAATAGTTTCATCTGGTCTCTCATAACATTTAAAGGCAGAATCCACTCTTTAGAATGGGATTATCTCAAGATCACCAACTACAACCACAATTGTATACTCCATTGTTTCATATACCCTTATTTCTGACTCCTGTTATACGGAATAGACACATAAAATCATCACATTCTGCATAAAAATATAGAATGGTGACATATATGGAACAATGGACAGTCCACAAACTAGTCCAAACACCAATTAATATGTTTGAAGTATAATCAGAGTGGATTCAGGCCAACTACAACAGAAACATGATGGTCATCCCTGCGAACTAGTATAACCCATTAAATTTTGAATCTCTCTGCTGTTTCTCTAGCCCTTTTCAAAACTTTCAACAAGCACAAAGTAGGATATTCAGGCAGTAACATGACAAGCATACTTGCACAAAAAAAAAAAAACCACACATGTGAAGAAAATTAGGCGACACTGACATGTTCGTTACCTCAAAACACATGGGCCATCACATAAAATCCAACTACAAGCATTTAATTGGATTCAGCAACAACTTATCATAGTTATTTATAACTTCTCTTTTCAAGTGGCCTCAGGAACCTATCATATTCTTAGTTTTTCATGTGAGAATAAATTCTTTACAGGTAGCCAATCAAGATTGAGAAGCTACACAAACTCATTGGAATCCTCAACATTGATTTATGTGTTTATGTAGCTCCTCAATTTTGATTGGCTGCGGTTTGGTTTATAGGCAAGCTTGTAAAGACTTTAATCCCGTTTCATCTATCTAATCACCTTCTAAAATTAAGTTCACATTTGAATACCTAATGGACAATTAGAAAGCATTTAGGCACAACTAAAAGTAGTACCAGCCAGCCAATTTACATTAAGGAAGCAATAATCATTGAAATAAATGGCTCAAGCATTTAACAGCCACAACAATTACTGGAAAAAACCTCACCTCAACCTGCCCTCTACCAGAGGCTGTATGCAGCACAGTAGATCCCTGAGCATCTCTATAAGCCAAAACATCAGAGCAATCCCCAAGAAGTTCTCTCAAAATCTCCACATTCCCTCCTCTAGAAGCGGCATGAACCGCCCTATTCATCATCTCCCACCGGAAAACAGAAGGCATTTCCTCCGGCTGCCCCTCTACCACCCCTCCACCATCTCCAAAACACCTCGGTGAGACTGAGAAATCGAGCAAGAGCCTAAAAACCTCAGAATTCTTGCTCCTGGAGGCAGCATAAAATATGTCAGTAACACCAAACTCTCCCTCTCCAAACACTAGAAATGGGTCTTTCTCTAGCAATTCTTGAACAAACTCAACATCCCCAGCAGAGGCAGCAGAGTATAGAAGCCAACCACCATAGCCAGCTCTAATGAGAGAGTTGTGGCCTTTCTTGGTTTCACATTCAAGGAGGAGTTTTCGGGCAACTTGGGAACGACATTTGGCAACATCATCAAACTGATCTTCGTCGTCCCACACGGTTTCGAGGCGGCGAATTCGACGAAGGGAGGTGAGTTTGATGAGGAGATTGGTGTCAAGGTGAAGAAGCTCTCTGACCAGATCATAATGGCCATTTGCAGCTGCCCAATCAATTGGAGATGCGTACCACCATTGATCTCCAGTACTCTCCCATCGAAGAGGAAAGTATGTTGGAGGCATTGGACCCAGAAGAAACGAATTTGAACACGGTTGAACTATAATTCACAGTGAATCACACCTTTGAGAAGATTACTAGCAAGACCCAGTTTGCTCAGAGGTCGTAAGGCCAAAGTGAAAAGGCTAGCAAAGGCGTTTTTTTCTTATGAAGAAGTTTGAAGAAGCTAAAAAGGAGGTTTGTGACCAAGCTATAGGATGGAAAGTGAAAGCAAAGGTCTTTAAGAAGCTCAACCGAACAAAAACGAAGAACCAGGGGACTCCTCAAATAAACAAAAAAAAATTGAACAGAGAGAGAGAGAGATCAGTGATGAATGGGAACACGAAGGAAGCCCATTAGAGGATTAGTTAAGAACAACTGGTAAGACGAGGAAAGGACACATAAGAAAGACATTTTTCCAGGCAAAGAAGGGAAAGTATGGGTGGGGAAGGGAATGAGCCACAGCCAACTTTTTGTTACTGTTTGTAGATGCTACCAAAATGAAAAGGACTACCACATCCACAGGTTTGTGGATTTTTAGTGGGTTTTGTATGGAAAATAAAATAAAATAAATAGAAACAAGAAAGTCTTAGAAGGTCGGCTGCATTCCTTCCGTCCGTGACATTCCAGTTTAGAGATAGAGAGTAGCAATGGACTTCCGATCAAGCCCACATAAGTACTTGATTTTACCCTTTGGTGGGAGTAAAGTATTATACACCACCACTATCATTCCTCTAACTTACATAAATACTTATAATCGATCACAAATAATAATTATGTAAGTAATATTTTTAAGGATTATTGAAAAAAAAAAAAAAAAACGTTTTGGTACCTAAATTATTTTCCTACACCAATAATGTATAGGGATGTATCATACCCCATGCATACAGCTGCATATAGTCACCGACACGCTTTGGTTCTCTTAAAATATTGTATTTGATGATTCACGGCTACTTCTGTTAGTGTTTATATTAGAAAGATGCAATATAGTTTAAATATCTTAGCTTCCATTTTCTCTGACAACCACTTGGCAACTGGTAGTAGTAGTAGTAGGTTTGTAAACCATCTTCTAAGGCACGTTGGAGGATGAAAATGAATAAATTACCCGTTATACCTTAAATTTTTGGGTTAATTATTTTTTTATCCCTTGTTGTTTTGGGTAAAAACACGTTATTTATTTTATGTTTAAAATTATGCATATTATTCACTTATATTTATGTACTAGAGTGAAGTGATTAACATCGTTAAAAGAATTAAAAATTTACCACAATACTTATATTTTAAAATTAGACTTTTGGTCTGATCTACTCAAGATTATAAAATTAAAAGAACATTACAATAAATCAACTCATTTCAATCAAACATCTCAAATTTTTCCCTCAAGTAAGGTTTTAATCTGGAACCGAAAATCACTTTTGTTTTTTTTAAATAATTGGCCCCACATTCAGACAATTAAGGTGGCCTTTTTGTGATGAAATGATGGGTTTAGTAAGGACTCTCTAATTACGATGCTCAACAGAACTAACCAACCACCAAAGGGATGTCCCTGGAAAATTTGGTAAGCCGTCAAAGTAGAAACAGAAGGTTTGTCTGTGCCTTCAATCAAAAACATTAAACACGGCCCATACAAATACATAGCATGTAATATGTTTTAAGGGTAAAAAATATAGTTAGTCCCTGAATGTTGTCTTTAATTTTAATTTTATTTTTAAATTAGTCCATCAATTGATAATTTTATCTCAATTAAGTGATTCCGTTCATTTTTACCATTAGATCAATGTTGAAATAGATCATATTGGGGTAGTCTCTAGTTAATCTAACAATAGAAATTGATGGAAGAAATTAATTAAGACGAAATTAATAGTTAAGGGACAAAATTGAGATAATTGAAAGTTTAAAAATCAAATTAAAACTAAAGAATAAAGTTTAGGGACTAACTATAATTTTTACCCAACTGAATTTGATGAATCCATTTGAACAAGTATGCAGTTTTAAGAAGCATTGCATTGCCCCCATGTTGTATGTGTTTGTGCCCAGCGAGGTACAATTAGATGGAGGAGGCCATAAGTCTATTTTTCCGTGTCTCAACAATACCGACTTTGAAACTTTTCGGACTAGACAAAAAAATTATTGTGGGTGTCAATCGACTAGTATTATAAGATATTCAAATCATATAATACCATATCATATCAAATGCGTCTTTATAAAGATATATAGTAAAAACTTAAGGTCACTAAGTGGGATGGTTTTGTGGGATACAAATCGAACTTTTTACCTTGAGACTAGAGATTCGAGTCTTGTAATTTATATTAGGGCTCGGTAATTAACCGATATACTACTTTAATTAGGTTCATTCACAAAACATGTAACGGGCATAATCAAAAGCCTCAAAATCCTATCAATTAAGATCTATCGGGATTGTCTTTGAACGCCCTTTTTCACTTGCTCCAACCCCTTTTCTCAATAGCAAAATAAATAAATAAATAAATAGTAATGACTCAAGATGCCATAACAAACCTTTTTCTGTGGGTGAAGTTCAACTTTTAACTCTTTAAAATATTAGTGAATGAAATTNTCTGTGGGTGAAGTTCAACTTTTATCTCTTGAAAATATTAGTGAATGAAATTGATTATTGTCCTAGAAACAGCCTTCCAACACATGGCACTGGTGGTGGGTGAATATAGAGTAAGATTCCTTCCGGTATTTTATTTTTCAAGTGGTATCATTTAATATGTTTCATTCACTAACAAGATGGGTGATCTAGTAATAAAAGAAACGTTATAGGGCCCTAATTCGAAAATTTAATTAGGACTTAATTTAATATAACTGTTAAATTATTTATGAGTTTTAATAGTAGACGGAACCTACTTTCAATTCAATTATTATATCGTATGCCCTTCCATTTGCTTTTTTGGTTCAATAATCAGGGTATTTGAATTAATTTATGTATATTTTGACTAAATTCTTCCCCGATTCAATCAAAGATAAAGTCATCTAGGTCGGACCAATACCCTTTTTATTTTTCTAAAGAATGACAAGAGTGCACATTTTATTCTTACTTGGATCAGGCCAACAAAAAGCAAACAAAGGCAATTTCCCAGAAACCCTTTTTGGACAGCCGGAGAGTACGATAAAATTGCTTTTTAGCAATTTGATCACTTTCGAAGATCACAGAATCTATGGAATTCATCGTCAATGTCCAGCCTGGGTTTTATCATTTATGGGTGAATTATGATTTACACCCTCAAAGTTTAAGCTTGATTTTCATTTGGTCCCACAATAATCAATTATAACAATCAAGTCCTTAAATGTCGCAACTAGTTTAAATCAAACTCCTTCGGTCAAAATTCATCAGTAATTATGTCGAAAAAATATCATATGAGAATTAAAACACTCAAATCACATATATAATTTTAACTAAATATGAGTCAAATATTAAAAAGTGAGTCAATATATCCAATTAAAGTATATGTTATGCTCACGTAACTCTTTTTCTTTATAATTATTGACGAATTTGAAGCGGGGGACTTAATTTAAATAGAATTTAAAATTTAAACACTTGGTTGTTTTAACTGATAATTAAAGGACCCAATAGAAATTAAGTGTAAATTTTGAGGGTATAAAATACTATTTATCCTGTTATTGTTTTAGGCTGTGCTATTGTATATTCTTGGCAATGCACTAAGGCCTGCACCGACTAAGTCATGGTTTTACCTGATCAGAGAAAATTGTTTAATTCATTCTAAATAAAAAAAAACACATGTTATTGCTTACCTTCTGAATCCTTTATTGGCATCTTTATGTTGACTAAGAAATTGTGGCAACTATACTATCAACTCAAAACAAATTTATATAACATTGCACATAGTCTCAGATAAATTATAATAGCAATACAAATCATTTAAATCCGATGACGTACATGTTATCTTTTTAATTACAGTAACCCAACTCATATATTAAAAAAAAAAAGGTTAATAACACTTTTATATCCTTAAAGTATGTTCGTTTTGTCAGTTTGGTCTTCATTGTATTAGTTTTGTCAATTTGGTCCCTAAAATTTTAATTTGTATTACTTTAATTCTTACTTAGACAATTCGTTAAGTTTTTTTGACGGAACTGACCATGATGTCATTCTTTCAAACGGTATCATCTGTCCAACGCATGATCATTCCGTCAAAAAATTAACGGTCTGTTTATGTAAATATCATAACACAAATTAAATATTTTAAAGACTAATTATCAAATTAATCAAATGTGCTATTAACCTTAAAAAACGTACTTTGCACAAGATACACTAATCTATATAATAAAATACCTAGCAACTTGAATTTTATCCCTTATATATTTTCCCTCTCAAAAACATCACATCACTCATTTTTATTACATATTCAATCATTTAATATTTGATTAATTTGTAGTTTAACATAGTTTTTATTTTTGATATTATTCATACACGATAGTATACACATGTTGAGAAAATTTTGTCAAATTATGTATTTTGAGAAAATTGTTAATATTTTTAAGAAAATAATGGTTAAAAATAAATTTTAAATGATGTAATCAAATAAATGAAAAAAAAATTGTTATTTAATATAGTGAAATTGATTTTTTAAGTATTCAAATTTTATATTTTATCGTATTTTCAAGTACAAATTATGACAAGTACAATAACATACGGAAGCTTTTAGTAAGCTGGCTACTAAAGGCTTAAATGAAAGGCATCATGACCAGGTAGATTCAGGGTGTTGTGAACTTCTGATGGCCACCGGATGGCTCACTCACACCACCAATTACTACGATCTAATCCAAGAGCACACCTCCACAATGGGCAGCCCTACGTTCCCCTTTCATGAAATATCACACAATTCTTAGAGGTAGGCTCAATGACAAGTACTTCATCTCAAAAGGATAAGGTCACACGATCAAATTTTGTCAATTCTATAGAATCATCCTTTAAAAAAACTTGTCCTGATTGTTACGTGAAACTGAAACATATGTCCGACTTCATGACTAACAAAGAAATGGAGACATCATGGGGACGGGGCTTAGTGGTTTATAACCTAACTTGTTGGATCTATTTGATTGTCAGAACTAAAAAGGGCCATTGGATCACGAGATTTGATTCAATTGCCCTTTATCAACTGACATGATCACGTGCGGTTGCATCTCAAATGCACATCAAGAGAGTCCCCATATTAACAATCACCTCTTAACAAAACAGATAAGAACAACAAGATCTGACTCATTAAACTGCAAAATACCTGCATAGGGATATGTGAAAAATATGCACAGGGAAATTGATATAACGATCGGTTTAAACTCTGGGCATCTTTTAGAGCCCGAGCCTCTCTAAATTAATTGGAAACGGCTCAAGAAACCCATTCAACTGGGCTACGTCCCAGTTCCAGGATGGAGCATAAGAGCCCGATACGTTGTAACACAGACATATGAACAGGGGACAAGGGAATATTGTCTGGTGACTCTAATGAATTGAAATCCTCATATAGGTAAGACGGATCAAGTACAACAAATTGCAAATAGTGGACGAAAAAATGTTCTATGGACCACCATACCAAGATGAAAATAGCAACAGAAGAAACAACAAAATCAGCAAAAAAGGACAAACGTGAAACCCTAACGATCAATAGTATAAATAACTAAAAGTGCTACAAGGCACAGGGGAGAGGCATGAAAGTGAGCTCATGAGAAGAGAGAATCAAACAATACCTTGTAATGGCTTCAAGCCAACTCTTTGTAACAACCATCATCTTCCTTAAGTAATATAATCCCCAAGGAGTAAGAGACTCTCTTACAATAGATGTAACCTTAGAGTGTGTTTGGATAATGGGATAAGGTGGGTTAACACCAATAAGGATAGGCTAACAATGCAATGTGGCCCATAAATTCTTAGTTTGGGAAAGTAAAAATGAGACAGAATATAAATCTCGAATTGAAGTTCGACCCGGTTGCTACAGTAGTTTTAACCCGCTTAGATGGGTTAAAATTAACCCACCTTCCCTGGGTTTAAATCCCAATTGGATATAGGTGTGCAATGACAACTTTACCCTCTTTTTTTTTTTTTTTTGAAGTAAAGCCCTAACCTTGTCTAATTGCAGATTCGTCGGGCGCCGCTTCACTCCCAACAAACTAGGCGACGAAGGCTGACCTGAAGGTATGCCCATCTCATCGCCGACTGGCACTCAAGCGTCTATGGGGTGGTCTATTGACGACGATGGTCAATCTGCGAGGTTAAGCTCAGACCCTCTCTCTCTCTCTTCTCGACTGGTGCACAAGTGTTGTTGACAGAAGGGGTGGGTTGGGGGCGCTGGTGTTCTAATGAAATAGAGGGAGGGTTGGGACGCTGGTTTCTAGTGAAACAAAGGGGTTAGGGTGCTGGTGTTCTTCGTTTTTCTGTTTGAGGCGGCACTGGGGTGGATTGCTAGTGGCTTTGTCGAGTTGGGCCAAAAATACATGATTATTTTTTGAAATTTCTGTTTTTGGATTTTTTATTTTAACTGCGTAGTTGAGTCGATTATTCGATTTATTAGCATAAATTTGTAATATGATTTGTTGATGAACCTGACAATTGAACTGGTGATTTTTTATGCTTGATCTGCAAGTCTTTTGATGTCATTATTGTATATTTGAAGTTTTGAAGAAAAATTTGGAAATTTTTTGTGCTAATTTTGTCTATGATATGCTTATATGATTGGTCCTCGTTTCAATGGCATCCATGATTTCATATCATTGAGTTAAATTTTTAGGTGTTTCTTCAACTCTCAGGTGTCCCTAAGCATCAAGTATAGATTCGTTGGTTGAAGCATCTAGTACAAATATAAGACAGTTCCACCCATTTTTGATCCAAATAAAAGATAGGATTAGATTGGCCAAGTGACGTAATAGTCAAAACATATTATTTTAATATTTTTAAATCACCTTTGTCAGTGGGCTCCACAGAGATGTAAAATTGGTTTATCATGGATATATATCCAATCTTGTTTAGGTTTGGTTTGTATAGGTAAGGTTATATTTCAAATATCCTATCTAATCAACTCCAAATATCCAAACGCACCCTTAGGGGCTGTTGGTACGAGAGTATGGAGGGAACTTAGCAAGATGGGTTAGGAGAAAATAATCCAAAGCTCCTCCAAATCTCATGTTTATATAAAAAATTCAGTTTCGAGTTTTTAAACTTAGTCCGTAGTTGGTTCGAAGATTAAATCCATAATCATGAGTTTCATTAAATCTAAAGGGCAGGTGGGTTTGGAAAGATGGGTAAAGCGTTAAGGATTAAAAAGATAATTGTATCCCTGAATATCAATATGAATTAGATTGATCAAGAGTAAAATAGTCATTTACATGACAAATAGTTGTTAATAATTATGATATATCTGTGGATCTTATATGTATATGTGTTACAGATCAAACATGGGTATAAACTGGATTGAATGTTGAATCTCATCTTTACAAAAGAGGGGTTTGAGTTTGAAAAAGTTTGGAGAAGTCAATTTAAACCCCTCTCTAAAATTCATCCAATCAAGCCCTTAAACATGTCTACACACATTTCTATTTTAGTTACCAACAAACCCTCATAATCAATAACTGTTTTATTAGAAATACAATAATTCAAATTTTTAAGATAAAATAATAATAAATTAATATTTAATTAAAAAACAGGGTAAAAATCATAAACATCCCCTGAGTTTTCATAATATTAAACAGACACCTCCCGACATTTTTATTAATAACACAAAATCCCCCTAAAATTTGAATTCATTACACGAAGATCCCTTTTGTCTCTCTTCCGTTAATGTTGCCAACAGAAATTAATAATTTCATCCCAAAAAACCTTATAATTTTTACAATTTCCTTCTCCAAATTTAGTACTGAAAAAAATTAAAAATTTTAATAAAATCAAATAAAATTTGATTTAGGACCCAAAAAATTAGTATAATTTCGTACTCCAAAAAAATGATTAAATGAATTTCAATATTAATTTGATAATACTAAAAATTGGTTTGATATTAATTCGACAAAGTTGAATATAAATTAAACAAAATTAAATGTCAATTTTTGATAAAATTAGATATTAATTTACAATTTAATATTTATTTCGTATTGAATATTATTTAGTGTTTATAGTCAATATGCTATTTTTTTATTTATATTAAGTGTTATTTACAAATTAAGAAACAAGTGACAAAAGCACGTCATATAAATAAAAACTTTGAATTAGTTTTATGAACTAAATAATTGTATAACTTGTAGTTTCATCTATTTTATAGAGTAAATAATAATAAAAACAATACAGGAAAAAAAAAATAATAGTATGAAATAGATAGAAAGAGTTATACGAGAGATGAGAATCTTAAAGTTGTAAAAGAAATGAAAGTCTAATTAGGACCATAAGATCAAAACGATCTGAGCCGCAAAAGGCTCAAGACAAACAATTTAACTATTTTATTATATAGATAACTAACCATTCTATCATTCAAAAATCATACATTCATAAATTTTTCTTTATTTGTTTTTTTGCAAATAAGGGTTCAAACATATATGCTTTGATACCCCTATTCTTTTTAAAAAATTCAAGCAATATACCGCCGTATCCCCTGCGTATCTAGACGTATCCCGACGTATTCTGAAGCATCCGAAATTTAAATTTTTTTTTTTTTTAATTTTAGAATACTTCTCAGTTGTATCAGACACATTTCTGTATCCGAAAAATATTTGATATTGATATTTTGACCCTTTTCAAGTAGCCGTGCTTCATGCTTCATAGGTTCAAGTAAAGCTCTACCTTCTGCCAAAACAACATCATTTTTAGGTTTATACCATGTGAACATGATAAATCAAGAAAACCTGCAAGTTTTTTGAGTGGCTTGTTAGGATAGGCAGATGTGACACTAAAGATTCTCCAGAAGATCCAGAAATTGTGAGGAAAAGTAACCAAAATGTTCTCCAGAACTGAAATAAATGTATGCATCAAATTCCCAAGTGAAAACTTTCTTAGAGACAAGACCATGCGCATGTCTATCCTACATTGAATCTAGAACACAGTATTTTCTTGGTTAATTTTGTTTCCTAATAAATGATGCTCTGGTCTGTCACATCTCAGAACAAAAACTACCTAGACCAAGATTAGTCAATTACATGGTATATCTGGTTCTTATCAAATTCCACATATTAACTTAACAACAATAATTATTCTATCCTCAAATATAATTTGGAAAAAATTATGCCCGCCAAACTTTTTTACAGTTATGGCTGCAAGGACATTTTTCGTAATCAATTATGCAGCCTAATACTGTTACCAAGAAGCATTAAAACTTCTTAAAAGAGGCTGTGACTGTGACCAACATCATGTCAGCACCAGACTCCACCAACATTCCCACTGTAATGTCATTTTCCTTCAGTTTCTTCCCCTTCCCCTTTGGCTTTAAGCAATCCACAAAGAAGAAATCCAAACTTGGGAGTTCAGCCTCTTGCTGGAATTTCAAACAAGAAAACATAATAGCCTATGTTTGCTTGGACAGACACAAAGGTAAATGCTGCCAAAGCAAGTGAATCTCCCAAGGGATACGATTGTGAAGAAAGATGAATTATAAGGGGCCAATCTACTGAATATTTCAGCTTCTTCATCTAAGTCAACCAATTTGGAATAAACCAATAGAAACTATGTCCAATATATTATGCAAATTTATACAAATTGTATATCTGCAAAACGTTGTGACCCTGCTATAGTTACTAAAATTTTTAACATGGGTACATATCCAAGTCATATCGCCATCATATCCCCATCTGTATATACACTACTACGTAAATTGATAACATGCAATAGTCACATTTTCCTATATCTAAATTCCAATGCTAAGTCCCATTAAACAATCTTCCTGTGTTCTTGCACATTTTTTAAGAGATGTAAACCCCTACATCTTTAGCTGTCGGCCAAATTGGAAGAAAAACTATATCTTGTGGCCCCAAAAGGGTGGAGAAATGAACAAAAAATAGACATTTCAAAGGCATAAACACTGAAATAATAACCTTGAAATGTGCAACACTCATGAGGTTTTCATATGCTTCATGAAGTCTTCAATCCTCTCAACAGCATCGTACATGTTCTTAGGTTTGATTTCATCCAAAAGCAAACGGCAGGTCTGATATCTAGGTGTAACTTCTTGACCTATCATCTCCTCAAAGAGGAGATATGCCCACTCACATTTGTTTGCTCTACAAAGTCCATGGATAAGAAGTGTATAACTTGACAAATCAAGGCTTAGATGATGCTTATTAACCATGTCATCCAACAGTTTGCTCAAGCAACTATCTGTCTTCCCAGTTTTAAAGCACAGCTTGAGCAACGGGAAGTATGACTGAACATCAGGTTTACAATGTGGCGAATTTTCCATATCCCAGAGGACATTAAAGGCTTTCTGTTCTTGAGCATGATGACAAAACATTGCAATCATCGAATTGTAGGTTGATGTATTTGGGGTAACACCAAGCCTGGGCATTTCTACCTCAAAAACATGAACAGCCTCTCTTACTCGGCCAGCCCTCCCTAGTGTGTGAATCAATGCATTGTAAAAAAGTGTATCTGGTTTACATCCAGCTAATTTCATTCTCTCTGCTATTTGCAAGGCTTCCTCAAACTCCTCTGACTTTGTTAGTGAGCACAAGATAGTAGTGTAAGTGACAACATTCGGTGAGCACCCCTGAGCATGCATATCATCAAGGAGATCATAGACCTTTCTAAAGTTGAACTGGTGACAATATGACTGGATAATGGTTGAGTAGCTGATGACACAAGGGCGACAACCATGTCCCTTCATCTCTTGGATTGTCCAGTCTGCCTCGTCAACCCGATTGACTTTGCACCAACCGTGAATAAAAATATTAAAAGTGTGCGCATTCGGTGGTATGTGTGATTTGAGCTCCAAGAAGACCTCACGGGCCTGCTCAACTCTTTTCTCTTTGCAAAGGGTGTCAAGCAACAAATTCATGGATTCTGTGTTCTTCTCCAATCCAAAACTTCCTAACTCATCAAATGTTCTTACAGCATCTTCCCATTCTCCGGCACCAGCTAGCCTTCTCATAACCTTTGATATTGTCTTAAGTGTAACAATATGTCTGTCACGCATTTCCTCTACCAGTACCCTCATCCTGTCAATTTGCTTCATCTTCCCCAATATGTCCACCAACATATCATATGATTCTGGCAAGGGCTTATAGCCTGGATGCGATTCCACCCAACGGAAAACACCCAATGCAGACTTCCAATCATCTTTGAACCGATGGAGCAATTTATCAACAAGTTGGTGAGAAACCCTTATGGAGCTACAAGCTTGGTCATCCCTGAGAGACTGAAGGACTTCATCTTCACTTCTTCCTACAGGAACTTTAGCTATGAGAACAACCAAATCACTCTCTCCCTCTGAGTCTATACCCGAGTTTCTAAAGTGATAACTTTCCAATGTTGCGGGACTAGACAAAGCGGAAAGATAACGAGAGAAATTTGCAGAGGCAGCATAAGAAAAGCTACAGAACACTGATGGGGCAAGAAGGACGATGCTCTTGTTAGTGCGGTTCCTGAGACGGAAAATCATGAAGGGGTTCCAAAGAAGAAGCATAAATTGGAGTCTCCGTTCCTGTAATTCCTGGTGGGAGAGAAAATTAGCTACCAACCACTTCCATTTATTTTTGAAATACGAGATGAGTATAACAAATTTGACAATTGAAAGGAAAAGGGCAATATCAAAGTCGTCTTCCAAAAGCAATTCGAACTTCGATCTTATAGAAAACCTAGTTTTGATTTTATTTCCCGAAGAGAACAATGCTTCTTCCTCCAGTCACTGATTTGCTCGTAAACCCATATTTATAATTATGGTATAATAACTGAAAACTCTTTGAAACTCAGTTGATTGAAGCTAACCTTTGAGCAGAACTGTAATGGAGAGCGGAAATTCCGGTAACTATGAGAGAGAGAGAGAAAGAGAGAGAGAGAGAGAGAGATCTGTTCAAAACTTCGGATCGAAGAACCGGGGCATATGTTTAGCATAGTTTTTTAAATCCGGCCCCAACATTGACCCGAAAAAAAATACCGGATTAATAGGTCACTAGTTTAATCGTTGGGTTATTGGTGAGACCGATTATTTAATAAAATAATAATTATTATTATTAATAAATAGCTAAAAAATTACAACATTTATGAAAAAAACATTTTTAATGTATATATTATATCAAACAAAAAACCCCAAAAATATCAAATATGTATCAAATAAATCCAATTTCTAAGACAATTTGTAAAGCTAAACGCTCAAACATGTAATTAAAGAAATAGAAACCATCGTGAAGAATACCCAGTTAGATGCTCTCCAAGTTAGGGGCTAATGTGCAATTTCATACAAACGGATAAATAATATGGCAATCAAACTGCACTGAGAGCATCTTTAATCATAACTTAAATTTAGACTCAAATTTAAATTCGAGTCTAAATGGTCTAAAAAGTTTCTCTAACCTTGGACCCAAACTCATATCAAATTAAAAAAAAAAAAATTTGGACCCAAATTGAGGGAGACTCAAATCTTATACCAAATTTTGAACGATAACTTTTTACCCTATTCAAACCAAACCAAACCTAAAAGAATTAATATTGCAGACTACCTCTCCCAGCCCCTCTTCAAAACTTTTTTCATCGTCAACGGCAGCCAAATCAATCATCGGTCCTTTGAAGACAGAAAAACTGTTGGTAAGTTATTACTACACTGGTATTTAATCACTGGGTGACTTGTAGTAATCACGGGTATTTAATCACTGGTATTTAATAACTTTTTAATCACTGATATTTAATCAATCGTCGGTTATTTCAAATCTTTCTCATGATTGGTATTTACTTTTTTTTAGAATTACCATGATTATGGTTATGAATAATGGATATTGCTTCTCCACTTTGATTTTTTGGATGAATCTTTGAACAATTATGTCATATTTATCGCAAGAAATTTTGTTCTTTGCATGTGTTCTTGATTTTGTGATTTGCATGTGCTATTGATTTTTGTACTTTGCATGTGCTATTGATTTTTATAATTTCCTATATCCTTGTTTTTATTCTTTTTTTATTCAAAGTTCAGGAATAATGGAAGATCATGAAATATTCGAGAATTCTCCAAGCTTAGAAGAATTTCATGGAATAGAAATTGTTTCACAAAATAGTTGTGCTCGTGGTAAAGCTTTTAGTATATTAGAAGATGAAGCAGTGTGTCGAGCTTGGTTGGCCGTTTCCCAAGATCCAATTATAGGAAATACCCAAAACAAGACGACATTCTGGAATCGTGTTCATGCGTATTTCTATTCCCAACCAAATGTTCAACCAAATAGAACCAACATTTCTTTGTGTCACCGCGGTTAATAAGTTTTCTGATTTTATAGAACAAGTACAAATGAGGCAACAAAGTGGGGGTAGGAGAAGCAGACAAGGTAAATGTTTGTATACCAGCAATTAATTACAATTTATCATTTAAGAATTTGATATTTATTATTTTTATTTTCAGATTAATGAGGCTAAACGCATGTACCATGTTTTTCAAAAAAAAGCACTTCACATTCGATTCTTGTTGGGAAATATTGTAGCATAGTTGCAAGTGGGTTGAACTTAGAACACAGTTCAATAAACCTACAGTCCATACATCATCACTTTCAAATCCTACTACTCCAGCATCTGTTGACTCCGATATAGAAATAGAACCATCAAAAGAGAGACTAANCTGATTTTATAGAACAAGTACAAATGAGGCAACAAAGTGGGGGTAGGAGAAGCAGACAAGGTAAATGTTTGTATACCAGCAATTAATTACAATTTATCATTTAAGAATTTGATATTTATTATTTTTATTTTCAGATTAATGAGGCTAAACGCATGTACCATGTTTTTCAAAAAAAAAGCACTTCACATTCGATTCTTGTTGGGAAATATTGCAACATAGTTGCAAGTGGGTTGAACTTAGAACACAGTTCAATAAACCTATAGTCCATACATCATCACTTTCAAATCCTACTACTCCAGCATCTGTTGACTCCGATATAGAAATAGAACCATCAAAAGGGAGACTGAAACGACCAAGTGGTAGAAAGGCTATGAAAGAATCACAAAGGAAGAAGGTGGCTCATGATGCTAGGTTTGATGATATGGCAGCCAACCAAACTAAAATTTTTGAAATGTTAGCTAGTATGTCTTCCCGATCTATTGAACAAGATGAGCAAAAGGCTATAGATCGTGAGATGAAGGCTAAGAATAGAGAGCCCAACTACAAATGTTAGCAATGATGAATGAAAGAGAACAAAGAAATGAGGATAACAAAATCATGTCAATGGACATGTCCAATTTTACTCCTATGCAGAAGTCCTACTATGAAGATCTTCAAAGACAAATAGTTGCTTGGAATATAGAGAATGGGTTTTAATTTATTGCTTGGAGTTCACTATTGTTTTTTATCTTGAGAGAATGTTTTTTCATTCTTTTCACTTAGTGTGCCACATGTTTTTGCTACATACTTGATACTGGTGTTATACTTTTAAATTATTGTTATGGGTTTTTGCTTGGAATGGTGAGACTACTTGAATATGTTTGTTGTTTAGATTTCATGGTATGCACAGGTCATGCATGATTTTAGTTTTAATAAACATATTGATTCACCTAGTTCATGCCTAGGTGATGTTGGGTTTATCAACATACTATTTGGCCCATCCATAATGATTGATTAAAGAGAAATAAAATCATACAGAAGACATAAAATATTAGAAATACAATATCAAAATATTTATTCAAGGAAATCTGAATTAACAATAACTGGCTACGACATTTATCTTCATGCTAAAAGTCATATCTCTCCGTAATGTTGCCATAGATGCTCAATTAAGTCATTCCGGAGGGCATGATAAGCATTTTTATCTCTAATTCTTGCATGACGAGCAATGAAGGACTCAAAGTCATTGTTAAACTCTCGGGAAACTTCAATTGACATGTCATGTGGTGATATTTCATATTCGCAATCGTCGTAGTTATCTCGCTCATCTTCAACAATTATATTCTGCAAAATAATACACGTTTTCATGATATCCCCAAGTGTTTCGAGATCCCAAAACTGTGTTGCTCCACGTACAATTGCAAATTGAGATTGTAGAATACCAAATGTCGCTCCACATCTTTTCTCGTTGACTCTTGCATCAAAGCAAAATGTTGTTTCTTGGCTCCTTGTGGAGAAGAAATTGTCTGAACCAATGTCGCCCATGAAGGATATATACCATCAACAAGATAATATCCCATATTGTAGGTATGCCCATTAATAGAGTAATTGGCGAGAGGGGCTCGCCCTTAGACAAGTTCAGAAAATAGATGAGAACGATCTAAGACATTGAGATAGTTGTGAGATCCTGACATTCCAAAAAAGGCATGTCAAATCCACAAGTCATAAGAAGCTACAGCTTCTAGAATTATAGTAGGTTTTTTAACATGACCACAATACTGACCTTGCCAAGCAGTCGGACAATTCTTCCATTCCCAATGCATGCAATCTAAGCTTCCCAACATTCTGGAAAACCCACGAGCCTCCCCAATAGCAAGTAGCCTAGCAATATCATCTTCCTTTGGAGATCTGAGATACTCATTTCCAAAAACTTCAATAACTGATCGACAAAAATGTTTAAAACTTAATATTGCAGTATTTTCCCCAATTCGTACATATTCATCCACAGAATCTGCCAGCATTCCATAGGCAAGCATTCTAATTGAGGATGTCATCTTTCGATGAAAAGACAATCCAAGAACACGACAAGCATCTATTTTTTGAACAAAAAAAGGATCATGTGTTTCAATACCATTGAGAATACAAATAAATAGACCGCGTGTCATTTAAAATCGTCGCTAAAATGTTGAAGGGGGATAAACTGGATTTTCAGCAAAATAATCCAAGAATAGTCGATCATGACCCTTTTGTCTGTCACGATAGATGACTCTTCGACCTAGAACAGAACCACCATGTTTGTTGAGTTGTTCTAATATTCTCTTAAGATTTTCAACATTGTGGCATTATTTTTCTCATAAAGAGCCACAATTGAAGAAATTTCTTCATCACTATCATCATCGGATGAAGAAGAGGAAGATGAAAAGGAATTGAACAAAAAATACTTTGAAGGATTCATTTCTATGAGAATGTTGAATAAGAGAATGAATGATGTAGGTTATTTATAGAATATTTTGGTTGTAATTTAATTTGGAGGGAAGAATTAAAATGAGGGCATGAATTTTTGGAGGGAATGAAATCTTGAGAGTGATAGAGGTTTTGGAGGGAATAAGATAGAAATGAGATAGGATAACATTTTTGGTGGAAAAAAATAATAAAAATAAGTTTTAGAATAATAAGAGAATTTCTTAAAAGAATTAAGTAAATATTTGTATTTACCCGTTAGAGTACTTCATATCAAATCAAGTTTTTGATTCAAATTTAGACATAAATTTGAGTCATGGTTAGAGATGCTCTGATCAGTAAGAACTTCAAAGAATATCACTAATAAGTAAGAAAATTCATCAACACAACTACGGATTTTTTTTTTTTCTGGGACAGAATATTAAATAGGGTTCTATTATTGAAAGTTGAAAACCAAGATACATCTCAAAGTCAAAAGTGTCAAGTGATCGGAAGCAGAGTCTTCACCCCTTACTTCGATTCAAGACAACAATCAGAGATAGAGATGATCGAGATGCTTGCTTGGAGCATGGGACGATTGAGAGATCAATCGAAGAACGTCAAAGTCAAATAATCGCAAAGAAAGAGATACAAGTGAGACTTGAGACCAAAGAGAGAGACGAGTTGCAGAGACCAGATAGAGAGAGGCGAGTTGCAGAGACCAGATTGAGAGAGGCGAGTTGCAGAGACTAGAGTGAGAAAAACGACATGAGAGGCTGAGTGAGTGATCAGATCTGATCTGATCTCACTCGTCGAATAGGGGATTAGGGCAAAAAATGCCCAAAATTTTCTAATTTATAGGACTTTCTATGATCCAGACAGTTGTACATACCCGTTCGATTTGAACGGTTCACACAAAACCCGCCCGGTTCACCGAGTCTTAGGCGGGTTTAATACTTGAACGATCTAATTACTGGGCCAGGCCGATCTAGCATCCGGGTCCCCTGGTTTCAGGGTCAACTCGCCGGTCCGGGCCGGATTTTAAAATACTGATGTTTAGGGTTAATTACATCTAAACCCTTTATATTTTCTAGCTTAATCAGATAGACTCCTTTTTGTTAATTTCTTGATTCTTAGATATCCAAATTTATATCTATATTTATATCTATATCTATATCTATACTATTTATAAATATTTGTGAAAAAAAATTATTTTTTATTTTATCCTAATTTGTATTATAAAGTCAATGATACCCATTAATTTCCTCTAATTTTTATTTTCTATACTTATTTAGCTTCTTAGTTCAACTCTTTATTAACAGTATTTGATTTCTAAATTTTATACTACTTTCATTCAATTTTATTTTCTATACTTATTTGACTTCTAAGGTTTTTTAGACTTTTTTAGTAATAGTATCTGATTTTTAAATTTTTTTTGAACTCATTTATTTGTAATACACTTGCATATAATTTTTTATATCTATATTTATGTGAAAAAATAAAATTCAATCTATATTCTTTCTAGTCTTAGAGGGATAATATCAATCACTTCCGGTGGACTCCTTCCGAAATATTTCTTTTATGATTGATTTTTTAGTATACAACAATATCATATTATTACAATATAAACAATAGTATTGCAATTTAATTAATTTCTTCGACAAAAAAATAATAAATTTATAATTTAATTAAATGTGCAAATATTGAATAATGACAATTTTACAATAAAAATTCATTACAAACAAAAGAGAAAATATCTAAGAAAAAAATATTATTTAAATATATTCACGTGTAACGTACGTCGTGGATCACCGGTTAATTATAAGGTTCAAAGAGGAAGATTTCTTCAGCATAATTTCTCATTGAGTTAGGCACCCAGATACTGATTTGCATTTTTGGTGTTCTAGATGTGAAGAAAAAATTGAGAAACTCACATGTATCTAAAATAAAAAAAAATTGCAATTTAATTTGGGGTTTAAAAATAAGCAATGCTATTAAGGCTTAATTGAAGATTAATTATAAAACCTAATGCATTGTGATAAAGGATTGACCATGAGCCCTAATCTTTAATATTGAGTAAAGTTTAATATTAATCCAATGACCTTAATATATTAAGTCAATAATCATGTCTTCAAACTATGTACAAATAGCATTATTATTTAAATATGTAGTTTGGCTCTGATTCGAAGTCAATATACTATCCAGGTTGTTCTCACTATAGTCAAAAAAATATATATAAAAAAAAAAAAGCTCATTGCAAAAGACCCCATTATTGTGGAAGATGGTGAAATACATCTAACCACAAAATACTCTGCTTTTACAGTTTGATTAAAGGTCACTGCTTACCAAAAATTTGAAGCCTAACTCGTTTAGAGGCCAATACAGCCAGGAACAAAAAATGGACAGTGGCATCTACTCAATAGTAGTTTTCCTTTTCTCTTTTTTTTTGTCATTCATTCACTCAGTAGTAGCCTTGTTGCATTATGATGATATAGATAAGCCCAACGAATAAGTAACTAGTATTGTGCTTCATATGGAACAAATCCAGTGAATTGTCAGCTAGAAAATGCAAGAAACTCCAGAGTGCTTTCAAGATCTGAAGTCACCACTTCACAGATGCCTTGAACTATGCTGGGGTAAAATCCATTTTCTCCCACATAATATAACACTTTTTAGTCCTTGACCCACCATTTTTGTTCACAACAAACTGAAAGCACTGGGTCTTGGTAGAAGAAATTTCACAAAAATGTCTCAGTAGGAGGCCATGGGAAATAAAGGCCAAACACTAAACTGATAATTAAAGGATCATTTATTTCATGTGCATAAAGGAAAATACGGTATAATTATGTTCTTGGGTTCACCAAACACAGCCGAATAAAGACCCTCCTATTCTCAAAACAACAAAAACAAAAGGAACTCTACAAGGCTCCACGAGTTTAAAATCAAAAACCATTTGGACTCGACCAAAACAAGGCATTTATTCCTATCAAACATCAGCCCTCAAAACGCATGAAAACTACACCCTAGGACTCGACCAGAACCAACAAAGAGCCTTATATCATAACTGACAGCTTCAAGCTTTAACAGAAGCAATGTGGACGATCAAGTCAATCACACGGCAGCTGCAGAAATAAAGAAAAAAAGTCAGTCAATAATATATAGTTGAAAATGTGAAAGCCTGTCATCACATATATGATCCATCGGTGTAAGAGAGGTTCACACCAAGCAAGTTAAAGTGACAACAATGTACAAAGACAAGTTCACATTACCTATAACCCCATTCATTGTCATACCACGCGACCAGTTTCACAAAGTTTCCATTCAGAGCAATCCCAGCCTTAGCATCAAAGATGCTTGACCTACATCAAGTGAACCACAAACACATACATATTACACAGATTGCTTTGGTTCTGTGCCTACAATTGTTAAGTAATCCAGGCAAACAAAAAATTCCGTGTGCAATCATCACCTGCTATCACCCACAAAATCGGTGGAGACCACATCATCCTCAGTGTACCCTAAGATACCTTTGAGTTTGCCCTCTGACTCCTCCCTGGGAACAACCAAGGAACAGAATGAAAATCAAACTATAACCCACTACTCATCAAAGGTGGTAGTAAACTGAAAAAATTCATCAAGAAAAGGAACATTTCCAGTGACTGTTGGTCAGCAGTAACTTAAACAATGAGAGATTACCCAATCAGGCCCATAAAATCACAAAGAAGCTTACTTAATCGCAGCTTTTATCTCATCATAGGTGGCCGCCTTCTCAAGCCTTACAGTTACGTCCACCACTGAAACATCCACAGTTGGAACTCGGATGGACATTCCAGTCAACTTTCCATTCAGGGCTGGCAGAACTTTACCAACAGCCTATTTGAAAAAAAAAAAAATTACATCGAGTTTGTGAAAAAGATCAAGCTCAAAACTATGCAGCAAAGAGATTTGGACTAAAATGTTTATGGAGTATTTAAGTCTTAAGAACTTGGCTCTCTGATCCCAAACATAGTCAGCAATGAAAATGTGAACAATATGGCCAAAGTCAAGCTATTGGACAATACTGATATAAAACCAATGACACAATGTATAATAGCAAACCCTTAATCACATCTAATGAGAATGACAGTCTGTAATGTGTTATATACCTTGGCAGCACCAGTGCTGCTGGGAATGATGTTGAATGAAGCAGCTCTTCCACCTCTCCAGTCCTTCTTTGATGGACCATCAACAGTCTTCTGAGTGGCTGGACCACATATTGGTATACATCAAATTAGAACCAACTCCCATTTCATTTGGACCAATAACAATATGTAACTCACTATGTAAGCAACCACTCACCAGTAATGGAATGCACAGTGGTCATGAGGCCCTCAACAATGCCAAATCTATCGTTAATAACCTGCAAGATTGTAAGGTGGAAAGCATAAGTGATTCATCAAGTTTGCAAGTGAAGCCAGTCACGGAAAGTAGAATGGTTCTCATAAAACCTTGGCAAGGGTAGCAAGACAGTTGGTAGTGCAGCTAGCATTGGAGACAATGTCAAGCTCGGGCTTATATTCCTTCTCATTGACTCCGACGACAAACATTGGAGCATCCTTGCTGACAGCAGAAATGACAACTTTCTTTGCACCACCCTAATCACAACAAACAGTCCACGTCAAAAATCCATCTGCTGAGGCAAAAACCTCACAATCCAAATCAATAAACACCCTAGCTCTAACACAAATAAGCATCCAATTTTATCCATTATAATAATATACTGATCCAGTCAATCCAATAGAAAAAGCAATCATAATAACATAGAAGTTGTACTGGTATTGACAAGAAGCCCTCTAGGCCCAAAACAAATTTGGCCAAATATAACTTACTATAGCAAACTAAAACTAAAACTAAATCAAATAAGGATCCCCAATGACTAAATCTCGTTAAAATCCTCTGTTTTCTAGAGAAAAACTCAAGATGTTTAACTTAATATCACCAAATCTACCAAGTAAAATCAACAGAGTGTGACTGAATTCCTCAAAATCCATCACATACACTACTGGAAACATATTTAATCAAATATCACCAGCTCTGGCTTAAATCAACTCATATAACAAATCTCAAATGCAAATAAAGTAAATACACAAGAAAGGAGATCAGAGCAAACCTTCAAATGGGCAGCAGCCTTGTCCTTGTCAGTGAAAACTCCAGTAGATTCCACAACAAAATCAGCACCCGTTTCACCCCATGGGATCTCCTCAGGGTTCCTAAAAGATCACACATAAGCAAACAGTTTTAGACAAATTCTCCCAAAATTTATATAGTAAAAAACCAAGTGTTATCATGAAATTGTACCTGATTCCAAATACTGTGACTGATTTCTCACCAAAAAGAAGGGTCTTCTCGTCCTTGACCTTAACCTCATGATGCTTCCACTGGCCATGAACAGTGTCATACTTGAACATATATGTCTGCACACATAGAATTAACGGAGCTCATTCATAGGCAACAACAACAGGTGGTGCATTGAGGACGAAGAAGCTGGTCTCGTCTTTATTATTGCTTCTTCTTCTGAATCTCCTGCTCTTGCACTCACGGACAGAGTAGAACCCATAAACTTTCGAAAGAGAGAGAGTGTAGTGAGTGGGTAGGGGACAGTTTCGAGGTGTGAACAGTGAAGAAGGCGAACCATGGACCGTAATTTGGAGCTGTAATTGGGAGAGACTGTGTGTGTGTGAGAGAGAGAGACTGGGAGTGTGTTAGTTTTGTGAGGAAGAGATAGAATTTCACAGTTTTATTTTTAGTGGAAAATTTTTACCCAAAAAACTTATTCAAACGGTGGCGTTTTCGACTAACAGCAAACTGTGCTGTTGTTATGTAACAGCAGAGGAGCCGTGCCCCACAATCAATATGTATAACTAAAACTAATCTTAAAAAATTTGTGGGTTAATTACACCGGAGTTCCATAAGTATGAATTTTGTCTTATTTTGGTCCTTAATATTTTAAGTATATCACTTTAATCTCTGAAATATTATATATATTTTTATATGATCTCACGAGTAAACATCATCCAATTACTGACAATTGCTTATTTGTAAGCTTATTATGTAACATTTAAATATGAAAAAAAAATAATTTTAAAATTTTTAACTAAATTTTGGTCAAATAATTACCCAAATACACAGTTTTGAGCATGAGATATCTAAATTTTGGTCCAAAACTACAAATATTACAATTTTTATGTCAAGAGCTATCTAAATTATTTTTTGTTCACATTTAGGTATCACATGACAAGTTTATAATCAAAAATCATTAATAATTTGGATGTTGTCTATTTGAGCACTACATAAAAATATATTCAATACTTCATGAACCAAAATGAGACAAATTTTATACTTTAAAGACCTCTAGTAAAATTAACCAAAAATCTGCAAAAAAAAAAAAAAAGGAGGGTTAATCTCAACTTACACCTTGAAAGATTATTCGAATTTCAATTTATACCTTCAAAATTTAAAAATATTAATTTACACCCTGAAAAATATAAATTTGTATCAATGTGCATCTAAAACTAACCAACATCTATTTTACATATACTAAAATTTAGATTAATTATAAATTGTACCCCTCAAAATTTATATGTTTTACATTTATGACCCAAAAAGAATTTCATCCATTAATACTCGTTAAATAACTTTCAATTCTATCGTATCATAATATTTTCATGTAGTATTCGAGTCAACAAAAAAATATTTTTTTGTCGAGTCAATTGCGTTGTGTCTTATATTTCACATTTACGACAATTCATATAATATTATTTAATATTTTTTTAAAATTAAAAAATACTAATTTTTTGTCTATAATACTTATTAAATAACTATTTTTCTGCCTACAATTGTGTTATTCATATCTAAATTTAATTTGATCGGACAATAAAAAGATTTATGTTTAACTATAGACAGAAAATAGTTATTTAACGAGTATTGTAGATAAAAAAAAAAGTTATATTATAATTTTTTTAAGATTTTGAAATATATTTCTTATTGACTCAAACACGAGATATTTTGATATGATAAACTTGAAAGTTATTTAACGAGAATTAATTGATGAAATTCTTTTTGGATCATAAATATGAAAATTTTAAACTTAGAAGGTACAATTTATAATGTACCCAAACTGTGTTTAACGGAAAAATGGACAGAATTAGCTTCAGGTGCACATTGATACAAATTTTTATTTTTTAATATATAAATTAATATTTTTAAACTTAAAATTTGAATAATCTTTCGAGTTTTAAGTTGAGATTAGTCCAAAAAAACAAAAAAAAAAAAAAAAACAGAGGCAGTACCATGTAGTCAGTGGTAATGAAGGGATCATTTATAGCAACAAGCTCAACATCGTCTCTTTGCAGAGAAATTCTAGCAACCAAACGACCGATCCTTCCAAACCCTAAAAGATATCAGCACAAAACCCATCAACCAATCAATGATCATAATCCCATTTCCAAAATAACAGAAATAAAAACAAGTACCATTGATTCCTATCTTGATCTTCTTATCAGAAGCCATTGACTTTAGAGATAGAAAAAAAAAAGCTTAGAGAAAGAAAACGAGGGCTGAGAAAAGCAGGTTGAGAGGGTTTTGGAGAGGAAATGAGAGTGAGAAGAGCAATGATGATTACGGGTGTGTTTAAAGCGGAATAAAGACGGATTAGCGGCAGATTAGTCAAAACCAGTGGGCGTGATTGGTAGGGTTGGTGGTTTTCTTTTTTTCTTTCTCTGCCTTGGGGAAAACGAAAAGAAACTTCCAGCCGCTGGAAATACTACCAACAAAACTGCTTGACAAGCCGGATGATTTTGGTCCACGGATCAAAATGGAAAACTTTAGGATAAATTTCTGTTGGAATACGTGGTTAAAATTTTTTGATATTAATTAAATTATGATTAATGGTCAAATTTGGAACACATAAAATCTCAATCCATTAGTTAAATATTGCAATATTCATGACATATATCATAAATATATTTTTTGTAAAATGTATTATGTACTAATATTATTTTATAATAATGCATACATACATATATATTACATTAAAATAATTTGATGTTTAGATTGGATTTTTTCTAGTCAATATGAGTGACTTGGGTAGAAGGACCCATCAAGTAATGAAAGACTAATCAATCTTATTTTGAGTATAATTACTCTTATTTGACTGCAGAGAGTTGAGAAAATTTGGTGGAGTTGAGAAAATATTAGAGGAGTTGAAGATATTATGTTGAGTAGTAACAACTAGTTGAACAGCTAGCTGATATATCATCTCTTACAAATAAAGTTCTCTGCATACAGAGAGAACACATCAGAAAATATTTAATTTGAGAGAAAACTTATTAAAGGAAAATCTCAACTCTATTGTTTTATATAAAAGAAAAATTTTAATTCTCAAATATTAACTTTTCATTTATCAAATTTATCAAATTCTGTTCTACAAATTTCCTATACAGGTATCAGAGCCAAGTTAATCAAAATCTGAATTTTCAAATTCATTGCTTCCATGAAACTAAGAGATCCATTATCTATTTCTTTTTCTGTCAATCTTTGGTTTTCATCAAATTCCACAAGACATCAAATTTCACAAGAAAGCAAAAACCACTTTTCTTTTGTGGAATAGTCTACCAACTTCAAAAGTTGCAATAACATTTTGAAGTTGGAATTCTTTATTCTTGCACGTTCTCAGACGAAGCCCCTTTTTTAACCTTTGTTGCTGGTGGTTTCGAGGTGGTGTCTTCAACGTGGTTGACTGCCACGCGTTCATACAAGTGATCAATTTCTTTACAAATTGTTAAAGCTTCTATGGGTAATTGAGTTTCGGTATATACCAAGAAATTAGACTGTAGTTGTTTTATATTTGACCAATTGGTATTACAGTCTGCTCAAAGTACTCTTAGAACTGCACGTTGGTAATAAAATTAAATCGAATCAATTCTAACCAATTTTATCTAATAATTTATTTTTTTTATAATTTGTCAATATGAGGTCAAAGGTTGCTAGTATAGAACTTAGCAAAATTGAAAGACTTAATGGTATAAATTATTCAACTTAGAAATATAGAATTCGTCACATATTATTTCAAGATAAAGTTGAATATGTCACTGACACACCATACCTGAAAGAATCACCCCTTAGGGCCAGAGAGGTTGTTAGAAACACCTACGAAAGAATCGTAGAGAACGACATATTGGCTAGGTCAATCTTGCTAATTTTTATAGAACCCAATTTAGTGGTTATTTTTTAGAAACATAAAACTGTTAAGTTTATGTTTAATACTATAACACAAGCCTATGGTATTACCTCTAACACATACATTCAACTATTGATTGAAAAATATAATGACACTTTTATGAAAGAGGATGAGTATGTTGTTGAACATGTCAATAAACTTGTGGTAATTGCTAAAGAGTTAGCATCTGTAGGTAACCCAATTTCTGATAAAATGCAAGTTTTTACTGTTTTACATAGTCTTCCTAATTCATGGGAGTCCGTTGTGATTTCGTTGAATATGTATGGCCAAGATTTAATAATAGCAAAGTTACCTATGTTGCTAGGCATCAAGGCCCAAAGAAGGGCTAAAAGGAAAACTAGTAATGTGTCAAACTTAGTTTCTAGCACCTCATCTTCCCAATTTGTCACAGGTGCCCCATCTAATAATGTGTCAACTATTATGTCTTTTCTTAAGCCAAGACAAGATAAACATTTTAAAATGAATAATAAAAAATATAACAAGTTCAAGAGAAATAATAATTTTAAGGGAAAACAAATGGGAACTTGTTATAACTATGAGCAGCCCGGACATTACAAAAGAAATTGTACACAAAAGAACATTTGTCAAAATTTTTAAAGGATCAACAGATATTGCGTGTGTGGTTTCTGAGTTGCTTCTTGCAAACTGTGACTCTCTTGCTTGGTGGATTGATTCTGCCTCTTCTCGACATGTGGCAAAGATTAAAGATAATTTCGTTGAAATAAAGGAGGTGAAAATCAACGACCACAAGTTATACATGAGAAATAATACTTACTGTAGTGTGCTTGAAATTAGTACTGTGAGAAATTTGTTGTCCATACAAAACAACCTCCTCTTGACTATGTACTTTATGCACCTAATATGCGGCACAATCTCTTATTTGTGCCACGATTAGATGACAAGGATTTTGAAGTCCGTTTTCGGTCTTCTAAAGTTTTTATTGGTAAATATAGTCGTATTCTTGCATGGGGGATTAAAGTTAATGGTCTTTACCGTTTGAATGTTGCTGATGACAATAATAAAATTGGTTTTTCTTCTACTTATATCGATATCTCTTGTGATGTTAATATTGATTCTATTTTATGGCATATGAAATTAGGTCATATTAATTATAATAAAATAAAAAAGATGGTTAACATTGGATTAATTCCAAATTTAGATCTTGACTTGAAACTATGTGAATCTTGTATAAGTTGAAAAACGACTAGAAAACCATTTGAAAAATTATAAAGAGTTAAAGATTTGCTAGAATTAATACATTTTGATATTTGTGGTCCTCTAAATGTTAAAACTCATCATGGTAGAGAATATTTTATTACTTTCACCGATGACTATTCAAGATATGGTTATATATATTTACTAAAGAATAAATCGGATGCCTTACAAAAATTTATTGAATTTAAGGCGAAAATAGAAAATCAACTAGGTAGAAAAATTAAAATATTAAGGACGGATCGAGGTGGTGAATACATAGCTGAATTTTTGTATCTTTTTGTAAAGAAAATGGAATAATACATCAATTAACAATTTCTTACACACCTCAATAAAATGGTGTAGTCGAAAGGAGAAATAGAACACTTCTTGACATGATTAGATTTATGCTTAGTCATGCACACTTAAGCACTATATTTTGGGGTGAGACTATTTTTATTGTCATTTATATTCTTAATAAAGTACCTTCTAGAGCAATCAGAATGACACCATATGAAATTTGGAGGGGTACAAAACCAAATCTTTCTTAAAAGTTTGGGGGTAATTCAGCTCATGTTAAAATTTTAGGACCTAATAGAGGAAAATTAAATCATAAATCAATGAAATGTACTTTTATTGGATATTGTGAAAATTCTATTGATTGTAGATTTATAATTCACCATAGTGATGGATCAGTCAAAGTCATTGAAAGTAGAAATGCATTTTTTTTTTAAGATGACTTAGATAAAATTGAGAAAATTGTTAAACTATTTCAAATTACTAAGGAAAATAAAAATACACAACCACAAGAGCAAATAATAAAAAAGCCTCCACCCAAGAATACTTTAATTAAAATACAAAGGGAAAGACATCCACTTACCTACTTAAAAAATTATTATGCATTCAATAGTGAAGAAATTCCAAATGATCTTATTGATTTTAATTATGTTATGAATTCAATTGATCATTTAAAATGGAGAGAAGCAATTAAAGAAGAAATATAATCTATAGAGAAAAATAAAGTTTGAGAATTAGTTGATTTACCAACAGATAGAAAAGCAATTGGGTGTAAATGGATCCTTAAAAAGAAATTTAAACCGGATGGATATATGGATAAATATAAAGGTAGATTAGTGGCTAAGGGATACACACAAAATAAAGGTATAGATTATGATAAAACCTATTCTCCCGTAGCTAAGTTTACATCAATAAGAATATTAATGTCCTTGGTTGCATACTTAGACCTAGAGTTACATCAAATGGATGTTAAGACTGCTTCCTTAATGATGAACTTAAAGAAGAAATTTATATGTATCAACCGCAAGGATATGAAGTTGAAGGTAAAGAAGATAAGGTGTACAAATTGAGTAAGTCTTTACATAGTTTAAAACAATCCTCAAGGCAGTAGTATCATACTTTTCATAATGCAATTATATCTTATGATTTTGTTCCAAATAACTATGATCATTGTATATATACTTGGAATAGCGGGAGTTATTATATTATTCTTTTCTTATATGGGGATGATATTTTAATTGCCGAAAATGATATAAATAGAATCTTAGAACTAAAAAATTGGTTAAACACCAAGTTTGAAATGAAAGACATGAGTGAAGCACATTATGTACTTAGAATTAAAATTTCTAGGGAAAATTAAGTTTGTCTCAAAAATTTTATTTGAAAATATTTTAAAGAAATTTAAAATGGATTCTTGTAAACCTATTGAATCACCCATTTACAGAGGAGCAAAATTGTCTAAAAATATGATTGCTAAAACTGAAGAGGAAATACAAGAAATGAAATATAAACCCTACGTAGAAGTTGTTGGTAGTCTTATGTATGCTAGGTTATGCACTAGACCGGATCTTAACTATGTTGTTGGTTTGATTAGTCGATATCAAAATAATCAGGGTATACCTCATTGGTTAGCTATGAAATGTGTACTTAAATACATATAAGGCACATTAGATTTTTCTTTAACATATCAAGTTGATGATATATACGTTAATGGTTATTGTGATGTTGGTTTTACCGGTAATATTCATGATAGAAAATCCACCACGGGTTATATATTTATTTT